TATCCCCGCCTTCACTACTGGATTACCGGAACACTCGGCAGGCGATGATAAGAATCGGCGATGAAGACTATTCCTCTCACACCCACTGTAGCCAGATCAAGTGTGTCCTATCTAACATTCAAAAACTACTCCCCATACGTACCTCCAAAGCCACCTAGGGCGTCCAACTCAAATTCTCCACAAAATCCACCCGTCCCTCCTCTAACCCCATAAGTATTCCACCCCCCCTCCTGCTCATTTAGCCCACCTCCCCCCTAACTCAGCACAAGAAACCCTCCACCTCCACTCCCCCCTCGTCCACCACCCAACTCAGCAGCTGCCCCTCCCCTAACCCATCACCAAAAACCCATCCACCTTCAACCCCCCTCCCCGTCCAACTCCCAAGAACCACCCGCCTCTCCATCCTCTCCCCCGCCTTCCCCTTCCCCTCTTTTCTCTAAACACTAGGATGCACAGGGTCTCTGCTTCGCAGCCACTGGCAGTCTAGTTAGAGGAGAGACCCGGCTGGGGCCCTGTCGTGAACGCCACCTGTGCCATTCCCTTAGTGATAACACCAAAGAATACATAACAGAAAAACATCTGGAGTTAATCAGTCTAATCAGGAAAATCTAATTCTTGTTCCGTGTAAAGAATCAGACGACCACAACCGCTGATCCTGAAACTTTGAAACTTGCTATGCTAAATGTCAGATCTCTTTGTAAACAAGTCTTTTTTAATCAATAATTGTATTTGTTCTTATAATCTAGATCTTATGTTCATGGCTGAAACATGGCTTGACCAAAATACAGAAAATGCAGTTTTAATAGAAGCATCACCACCAAATTTCAAATTTGAATCTGAAATACGGGAAAACAAAAAAGGAGGAGGCTTAGCTGCCATTTTCAGAGACCACTTTGTCTCCCATAGAATGTCTCTTGGGAAGTTTCCGTCTTTTGAATATGTGTCTTTTAAAATACAACTTAAAAACAATCTCCTCCAATACTCTTCGTTGTCCTATACAAGCCACCGCAGTCATGTCACAGTTTTATTGATAATTTTACAGAGTTGCTTTCAGTTGTATGCACAGATTTTGATAGTTTAGTTATTACAGGTGATTTTAATATTCATGTGGATAATGTTGATGACAGAAATGCAAAGAGCTGAGTTTCTGTTCTTGAATCTTTTGGTCTCACTCAGCATGTGAGTGGCCCCACCCACAGCAGAGGGCACCACTCTAGACCTGTTAGTTACAAAGGGGGTGAAATATTTCTAATGTAAACGTGGTCGATGTTGCGCTTTCGGATCATTTTTGTATATTTTTGACATGTGTTTCACTAAACAAACCACCAGTGGACTCTGCAACTGTACGAAGAAGACACATAAATGAAAATACGGGTGAACTATTTATGGGAATGATAAACTTTGAGAATGCATCGTATTCTACTGTAGATGAACTGTTTAACTCTGTCACCTCTAGTGTTTTGAATGTTCTGGACACCATCGCTCCTGTGAAGGTTAAAATAGTGAAAAATAAGCAGAAGGCGCCGTGGGCTAAAGCAGAACTCGGTCAGGGCACAAAAGAGAGAGTGCCGGAGGGCCGAGCGGAAGTGGCGCAAGTCCAACCTCCAGGTTGATTACAAGATCTTCAAAGATAAGTTGTGCGAGTTTAACCAGGTGCTACGTAGTACGAGAGAAAGGTATTTTTCTGAAATGATTGAAGGCTGCAGCAACAATCTGCGTGTTCTGTTTTCAACAGTTAATAGATTAACAACCCCCCTGTTCAAATGCCATTAGAGCTAACTTCTCAAACGTAAATGTAATGAGTTTGCACATTTTTTTTCAATGACAAGGTTCAAGGCATCAAAAACGCCATTGTCTCCAATCCACAGATAACAATCCAACAGCCAGAAAGGCTCTTTGAGCTAACTTACTTTGCACCTGTAAATGATCAAACTGTCCAAGAGATAATCTCCAGTTTGAGCTGCCTCCACATGCAAGCCTGGATGTACTACCCACTAGATTTCTGAAGTCTGTTCTGAGCAGTCTGTTACCTTCACTCACAAACAGATAGTAAACATGTCCCTTCATTCTGGAATAATTCCCAAAGGCCCTGAAAACTGCAGTCATCAGGCCCCTGCTAAAAAAGAGCAGTCTGGATGCTACGGTACTTAACAACTATCGCTCTCAAATCTGCCATTTATGGGGAAAGTCCTTGAGAAAGTTGTCTACCTACAGTTACTAGATTTCTTATAATCAACAACTCATTTGATATGTTTCAGTCCGGCTTTAGACCCCACCACAGCACTGAGACTGCTCTCGTCAAGGTTACAAACGATATCCGGCTGAACACTGACGCAGGCAAAGTCTCAATCCTAATCCTGTTAGATCTAAGTGCTGCCTTTGACACTGTCGACCATGAGATCCTCTTACAGAGACTAGAGGACTGGGTTGGCGTCGCTGGCACCGCCCTAAGTTGGTTTAGGTCTTACCTTGAAGACAGGAAGTACTTTGTGGAGATTGGAAACTGTGTCTCAGATCATATGGCCCTGACCTGTGGAGTCCCACAGGGGTCGATCCTGGGACCTCTTCTGTTCAATCTCTACATGCTGCCGTTAGGTCAGTTAATACGCAGAAACAAAGTTTCCTATCATAACTATGCAGACGACACTCAGATCTATGTCTCACTGACTGCAGGAGAACATGGACCAGTGGACTCACTCCTTCACTGTATCCAACAGATCAGTGAGTGGATGCAAAACAACTTCCTTCAGCTAAACGCAGACAAAACTGAAATGATTGTCTTTGGTCCCCAGAAACAAAGAGAGAGCGTCATCTGTCACCTACAGTCTCTCTCCCTAAAACCTTCAAACAAGGTCAGAAATCTAGGGGTAATACTGGACTCAGACTTAAATTTTAATAGCCACATCAAATCAGTAACATCAGCAGCTTTTTACCATCTAAAAAACATTGCCAGGATCAAAAACATAGTGTCTAAAGCAGACTTGGAGATTCTTATCCATGCATTTGTCTCCAGTAGGTTAGACTACTGCAATGGCCTGCTCACAGGTCTGTCCAAACAGGCTGTAAAACAGCTGCAGTACATTCAAAATGCAGCAGCTCGAGTCCTGACTAGAACCAGGAAGTACGACCACATTAGTCCAGTCCTCAGGTCTCTGCACTGGCTTCCTGTGGCTCAGAGAATAGACTTTAAAACAGCTCTGCTTGTGTACAAGTCTCTCCATGGCCTCGCACCAAAATATATTAGTTGACGGACTTTCAACTCCCTCCACAGATTTTTCATTGGGGTTGAGGTCTGGAGACTGGCTAGGCCACTCAAGGACTTTCAAATACTTCTTACGGAGCCACTCCTTCGTTGCCGGGCGGTGTGTTTGGGATCATTGTCATGCTGGAAGACCCAGCCACGTTTCACCTTTAAAGCTCTCACTGATGGAAGGAGGTTTTGGCTCAAAATCTCACGATACATGGCCCCATTCATTCTTTCCTTAACACGGATCAGTCGTCCTGTCCCCTTCGCAGAAAAACAGCCCCAAAGCATGACGTTTCCACCCCCATGCTTCACAGTAGGTATCGTGTTCTTGAGATGCAACTCAGTATTCTTCTTCCTACAAACACGACGAGTGTTTATACCAAACCGTTCTACTTTGGTTTCATCTGACCACATGACATTCTCCAAATCCTCTGCTGTATCATCCATGTGCTCTCTGGCAAACTTCAGACGGGCCTGGACATGCACTGGCTTCAGCAGGGGGACACGTCTGGCACTGCAGGATTTGATTCCCTGTCGTCGTAGTGTGTTACTGATGGTAACCTTTGTTACTTTGGTCCCAGCTCTCTGCAGGTCATTCACCAGGTCCCCCCTGTGGTTCTGGGATTTTTGATCACCATTCTCATGATAATTTTGACCCCATGGGATGAGATCTTGCGTGGAGCCCCAGATCGAGGGAGATTATATGATTATTTTCTGATAATTGCTCCCACAGTGGATTTGTTCACACCAAGCTGCTTGCCTATTGTAGATTCACTCTTCCCAGTCTGGTGCAGGTCTACAATTCTTTTCCTGGTGTCCTTCGACAGCTATTTGGTCTTGGCCATAGTGGAGTTTGGAGTCTGACTGTTTGAGGCTGTGGACAGGTGTCTTTTATACAGATAACGAGTTCAAACAGGTGCCATTAATACAGGTAACGAGTGGAGGAAAAAGAGCTTCTTAAAGAAGTTACAGGTCTGTGAGAGCCAGAGATCTTCCTTGTTTGAAGTGACCAAATACTTATTTTCCACCATAATATACAAATAAATTCTTTAAAAATCCTACAACGTGAATTCCTGGATTTTTTTTTCACATTCTGTCTCTCACAGTTGAAGTGTACCTATGATGAAAATTACAGACCTCTGTCATTATTTTAAGTGGGAGAACTTGTACAATCGGTGGCTGACTAAATACTTTTTTGCCCCACTGTAGCAGGACATTCTCAAACACCTCTTGAAGCCTTTGGGCATGTCAAGCTCCAACAAGTTAACATTTTATTATTTATGCAATAGTATCATCATGGATTATACAGCATTAAAACATATCGAACTATCTTACCTTATCTGGTCCGGTGACAGACAGTGTGATGTGCTTGTGTTTGGTCATTCATGCTAGTAACATCAGCAAGCTATTATCACAGCTGGCAAATACTAACTAATGTCTGTTCTGTCCTTACCATAAGTTACAGACGAACGTTTTGGAAGTGTTGACACAGAGACAGACCTAACTTTACGTTGCTACATTAGTTGGTTTATCGTAACTATGGATTGAAACTTGAAACTGCTCGGTAAACGTTGAAGATACAATACTTTTCGCACACGTGACGTACATTGATTACATACGACCATCGCGTTATCAACTAAAATGATTACAATTCAAAACAGTACTGTTATTGTCATAAACATTACTAAAGGAAACAGTAAATTACCACGCCCTCTTTGTATTTTTTTAAAATCCCGTAACCATAACGTCGCAAATGGTGCATGCTGGGAAACGTAGTCGTAAGACCTTTTGTTTGTTGTAGAAAGGTAGGCGGGGCGTATTTGAGCCTAGCAGCAAGAATCGGCAGCTTAGACACTTCTACGAAGCAAATATTTTCGAGCCCTCAACAAAAATGTACACTTGACATGTATGAAGTACAGAAAGCTGTAGTCTTGTTTACGGCCTTCTACCATCAGTTTTCTGGGCGAGGTAAGGCGCAACTAACCGACTGACGTAGCTAGCTAGCTATTTCTCAGTGAAAAAAACGGTGTCGAGAGAAAAGCAGACCCAGTCAACAACAACATAGGTGTATGCTCAAGCGAATTTGAATCTATAATTTGTTCGAGGATTTTCGTTTTGATAGATAATAGTTGTAAGGTGTTGCGACTAATTTCAAATACAGGGATCGGGGCTGTGTGATCTACAGTGTCAGTATTGTGACCTACATCTGATCCTCCTTATGTTTATGTTTGTGAAAAAAGACTCGTATAGAATCCCCATAAGCCTATTCCATGTTTGCCCGCTTTTATCCTTCCATTAATATACATGCAGTATGTTAACATACAAAACATCAAAATGTGTCTTCTATACACAAATTAAGGGTAGTATAGTAGCTGTAGTTTGTTGAAACCACACCCCTTTGTACGAGGGGGTGTGTTAAGAGACTGGTTTGGACTAAAATTGCTAACGTAACCTATATATTCATGCAATTTGGTGTGGATTTTGACACGCGGTTTTACATTATGTTTTTTAGAATGAAGGATCTCCACATTATTGATTCTTCACTCTTGAAAGAGCTGAAGTTATGTTGTGTCAAAGAAACCAAGTTCCTTCCCAAAGAATCTGGCCTCAAGCTTATGGAGTCAGCTTCAGCAAAGGTAAGCAACGTCCACTAGCCACTATCCCTATGTGATAAACCGGCTACTTCAAATTCTGTTTTTTAAAAAAAAAGAGAAATTATGAATGCAATTATTCATATTAATTAATTAGATTCAGATATCTAATGAAGTTTTACATAGGCCTTTTATGCTATGGTATTTATAAAGGCTGTCACAAATTGTAAAAACATCTATTTTGAACCGTATAGAGGTACTGAAGGCGAAATAGAGACCATGTTTGAATGTGTATTATGAATGTCAGTACTACTGTGTGTTGTTCAGTTGGCAAATTAATAAAATACAGCCATATTAATAACATGATATACTCATAACAATTAGCTGACTTGGCATTGCAGCCCTAGAATTTATTATTTTATTTTGGTGATGCTATTGCTATTGAAACTCAACATTTATTATACAATTTCAGGATCCTAATGGTGTATCAGCAAAATGCAGAGATGCCAGAGTGGAAGATCTCTGGAGCCTGACCAGCTTTTTTGGCTATAGCACCCAGACCTTTGTTCAGTCTGTTAGTTTGCTTGACAGATTTCTTACAGTCATGAAGGTAAAACTTCCCAGTAGAACGTATTGTTCATAGAAGAATGGCAGTGTCCTCATTCTTGATGTTTTGTCAGTGCTTGCGTCTCGTGATGTCAAGTAATGTATCACTAATGTGTTTATTATGACAGGTACAGCCCAAACACTTGCCCTGCATTGGAGTTTGCTGTCTTCACATTGCAGCTAAAATGGTAGAGGAAGAGGGCAATATTTCACCTACTCATGAACTCATCCGCATCAGTCAAAGCAAGTTTACTGTGTCTGATCTTGGTCGTATGGAAAAGATAATCTCTGAGAAGTTGGGTGTGGAGCCCAGAGCTGTGACGGCCTTAACATTTCTACACCTTTATTATAGAGCCTTTACATCTGTGATTCCCCCAATGTGAGTAATACAATTTCACATTTGTTAAGGTTGAAAAAATAATGCTGGCTCTTAATAGGATTGCTTTTCTTTAAGGGAGAAGATGCCAAGCATTGTGAGACTGGAAGCTCAATTAAAAGCTTGTTTTTGTCGACTGGCTTTTTCAAAAGCAAAAGTAGGCATTGAGTTTATTATGAGGATGAAATAGTGCAGGTCTGATCATGTCTGATTTGTTTTCATTTCTTCTTTGACAGCCATCTGTGCTTGCTCTTGCCCTTATTGCACATGAGTTTGAAACACTTAAAACTATGACTTTGTCAAAGATTCTGCAACATTTACAGAAAAATCTAAAGGTATTATTATTGTATATTATATTATATTATATTATAAAGCATAATTGAATTAAGTTTAAAAATGATTTTATTATTATTTTATAGATAAGTGATAGCCTGCTTTTGCACTGGAAAGGATTGGTGGCCAGCTGTATGGCTGCATATTGCTCAAGTCAATGTGTCAAGCCTGACCATAGGAAGCTTGTATGGATTGTTTCAAGGCGAACTGCTCAAAGTCTCCAGGCCAATCACTTCAGGGTCCCCATTCTGCCAACTATTCCCGAGGGAAGTTGGGGTGAAATTGAAAGGTGAGTCTTTTTATTATTTTTAAAATAGATGACTTTTTTTTATTTATTTTACACAATCAAAAAGGGATTTTAGATCACATTAATATGAGGTAGGTGTAACACCACATACACATTTCAATGACTACACCTGAGTCTTTTGTAAACTTCTTACCCTTGCCTCACACTGACTGTGGTGCGGTGACTACAATCTTTCATAAAATGAAAAGTCTCACAAGCGCAGACGGAGGTGCCGGCAGAGAGGCTGTGAAGCTCGGAATCCTTTCCATTGTGATAATCACATTATGACCACACACACACACACACACACACACGCAACCCTCCACAATTATTTTCAGTTTATTTGTTTAATTACTGCAACAACAAGTGGACTTGCAAGTGTGACTTAAAAGCACACAGACCCAAGGCAAACCATGCCAAGACCAGGACTGCGTGAGCTAGGCATTGTAGTACAACCTCTTCCACTACTGGATACAAAGTAGATCCATAGCTATTTTACTGATCCATTTGTAGAAACCTTAATGGTGGGGATATAATTTAACTTCTGTAAATTTCTTTCTAGTGAGGACTCATTTGAGGATTCAAGCAGTGGAGAAGACAGTCCATGTGGTTCTCCTGGAAGTGATGGAGAAGGAATATTCTTTCCTGCTTCTTTTTTGAAATCCAGAAAGTAATGTCACATTTATCTTGTAGTATCCAAATTGTAATGCTAGTTGTGTTGTGGAAATGGCATGTGGATGTCACCATGTGACAGTAATTAAAAAATTGACTGATTTTGGTGTTATGCATATCATTTAAAAATTGCAATTCCTTGGCAGCTTTTTTGCAACACATGTATTGAAGATGACTGTATCCAGGCCTGGCACATTCCAGATTTAGTTTTTTTTTTTTTTTTGTGGCAATAGGCCACATTTATCCTGTAGCTGGAAATGTTTGTATGATCTGTTTGAGCATTAGTATATGTGATCTTATTGTATAGGAATACTAACTAAATGCATCGTAATATACTATGATAGATATGGATGGTTGTAATTACTAGTATGTAAAAATGTTGAAAAAATGTATATAATTTATAAAACAAGAAAAAATATGTTTTGTGCATTCTGTAAAATGTGTTTATAGCCCACTATATAATAAAATGCTTCATATATTTGTCCATTATTTTGTATGCGTTTGAGTTGTCCAAGAATGACAAACTTTGGTTGCATGAAGGAGACGTGATTTATTTTCGTAATCCATAAAAGGAAAATCATTATGGAGACGAGTTATTGCATTTTAAGGATAATAAATTATTCATATCTTTTCATGTCTTGCCTGCCTCTTCAAAAGAAGGCTCTAGCGCCCCCTGGTGGCTGTTCAGTGTAGCGGATCCTGCACGCAGGGGACTGTTCGGCTGTAGTCGGGGGGACTGTTTATATGCTAAATCGAGGTTTTTTTCCTCCGTAGACTCATGCATGTGTTTAAACCACAGCGAGCCATTCCTGTGTGTGGCGCAGAGCATTTGCGGCTCAACACAAAAACATCGCTTTGCTCCAGCTGTTGACGGGGAAAAACACCAAGATGGTCCGCATCGCCAAAGCCCTGGGATTGGTTATCCTGTGCGTCGCAGTGCTCATACTCTCCCTCATCAGCTATGTGTCTCTACGAAAAGACAACCTCTTCACATCCTCGAAATACTACATGGGAGGACCAAGGATTATGTTTCATGCAGGATTTAGGTGAGTTAAAAAAAGAAAATCGGTGACTTTAGACATAGCATCTTAGGCCTTGAGTCCTGATGTAACGTTAGCTTAAAGCAGAAGTGTGGCAGAGGTAATAAATCTGATATTTTGCTGCAGGGCAATACATCAAGGTAAATATAAAGAGAGTAACTGTCCAAGGTGCTGATGCCCTGTATTACCATCCAACTGAGTAAAATAGGCCTTTTCAAAAAGATGAGAAATTACAGTTCGCCGTTTGGCAAAGAAAATAACTTTTTAATTAGAACAAACATCCTGAAGATAAAATTAAGCAGAGACCATGATTAAACCCCGTGTTAATTTGTATTTCTTTCTCCATAGATCTCAGTTTGCATTGAATTTTTTGGATCCTTCCTTCATCCCACTAACTTCTGCCCTGAATGAAGAATTACAGGGGAAACCATACAAGTGGAAGTTCAATAAAACTGCTCATTATCAGCAAAGGTATCTGATACATATGTGACCTGTATGTTTATAGACTCTTTAATTCATTCTCAGATGTTTTGATTTATTTTTCAGGAAAGATATCTTCAATTTTATTGATATTTCCAGCAACTTCAGCCTGACGAAAGACAGCGTGCGTGTGGGACAGCTAATGCATTTTGACTATTCCAGCCACAAGTATGTTTTCTCCATAAGCAACAACTTAAAATCTCTGCTTCCGGACGCGTCCCCTATACGTAACAAGCACTACAGCGTGTGCTCTGTGGTTGGAAACAGCGGGATTCTGACGGATAGCCATTGTGGCCCAGAAATCGACCAGGCAGACTTTGTTTTCCGCTGCAACTTTGCCCCAACTGAGGTCTACTCCAAAGATGTGGGCAAAAAAACAAATTTAACTACTTTTAATCCCAGCATCCTCGAGAGATACTACAACAATTTACTGACCATACAGGATAGGAATAACTTTTTCCTAAACCTTAAGAAGTTGGAGGGAGCCATTCTGTGGATTCCTGCCTTCTTTCTTCATACGTCGGCCACAGTAACAAGGACCCTGGTCGACTTCTTTGTTGAGCACAAGGGTCAATTAAAAGTGGAGTTGGCATGGCCAGGAAATATCATGCATGATGTTAATAAGTAAGTGTTCATAAAATAGGTGCATTATGGATTGTTCAACTTTATATAATGTTCATATGATTAAATATCAAATTACCTTTATTCTTCACAGGTATTGGAAAACAAAAAACCTATCCCCCAAACGACTCAGCACAGGAATTCTCATGTATACACTGGCCAATGCCATGTGTGATGAGATCCACCTCTATGGCTTCTGGCCTTTCGGCTGGGACCCCAACAGTGGCAAGGACTTGCCCTATCACTATTATGACAAAAAAGGGAGTAAATTTACTACTAAGTGGCAGGAGAACCATCAACTTCCCAACGAGTTCAAGTTGCTCTACAAACTTCACAGAGAAGGTGCGATCAAATTGAGTCTGACGCACTGCTCCTAGAACCACGGGGTCCACCCTGAAGAAGGTGACCCACATACACCAACCCATTTCTGCTGTTGCACATAACGCATGATCAGTGTTCAAGCAAATTTCCTTGCGTTCTTTGCCTAAACACGCTCACTCTGCATTGTAATTTCTCATGAATGTTGTGGGAGCTTGAAGGACTATGTCACAGTGGTAAGACACTGTCTGGTTGATTTTGCGTGAAATAGAGCAGAATAGAACAAATACATTGATATTTTTTGTTACACATTATTCATACACAATCATCTGGGACAAACTGAAGTTAATTGTTTTGTTGTTTACATTTTTCTCAAGCAGCTGTTTTTCTGTTTTCTGCTATAGAAGGCTATTAGTATCCAAAACTGATTTAATACTCAATTCTGTACACTGAAATCACTGCCTTATCTCAGGGAAGGAGTTAGATCAGTGTTTTTGTAATCTGATTCAATGACTCAACTGAAAAGGACATTATTTGCAGTTTAGTCCTTCAGATGTCAGACAATCAGCACTATTCTCTATGAAAGATGTTTTTGTTTACAAGATTGTATTTATTCTTGACACACCTTGGAAGAAACATTCCAATACTAGCCATACAATTCGAGAACTTTGAAATAGTGCAATTATACTACAATACATTACAGGCACTATTACCATAAATAGGTCATAATATAGTCGTTTTTGGTAAGAGTTCATGTCTCTTGTTAAGAAGGGGAAAAATATAATCACCCAGAACTTGACTTAAAAAATGTCAATTTCACTTAAAAGCTTTTGATGCTTTGTTGCTGAAAGACCTGTGGAAGACCTGTGGAATGTTTGTTATTAGTTAGTAAGATCAGAAATGGGACTAGGACCTAATTATTAAATGTAATTTATCTGGGTCACTGCTTGGATGCAAGAAGAAAACTGCCCCCTCTTGGTGGAGGTCTGCGCTCTACGAGTGCTTTTCTAGTAATTGCAGAAACTCTGATATATAAGATAAGTGATAATTGTGTGACAATTTTTGTCACATACACCATATTTATTCATATGTTACAATTGGATGTTGAAGTAAAAATAAGCCATAGTATTAAGATACTGTTAAATGTGGAATTTTACAAATTATGTTTTTATTCTGGACAGAATTTTTTGTTTAAACAATATAAAATAATATTGACAGACAAAAAGTCTTCACATGTTGAGATGAATTTTATATATTTATTTTTGCATCATTCTGGTAAGGTGAATGTGAATAGTTACATGAGTCCAAAAAACCCTGTGATGTAAGCAATGATTTCAATAAAACATGCAACTTCTCGCATCTTGCAAGCATGAGCCATCAGTGTGACATTGCATGTAGGAGGCACTGATATTTAGGGCTGTTATTGTTTATGTACTCAAAAGTCTATGACTTTTTAAACTATATTTTGGCTACAACAAGGGACCAATCTTCTATATATAATTTCTTAAAACAAAGTAAAAAAAAAATTGTTTGTATCTTAAATCAACTCAATTTCCCTTTTCAGCAGTGCGCTCAGATTAACAAATGGAATGGGTGACTGGATCCAAACAGACTCATGACTTGTCTTATGATTTCCTAACACGTGTTCAAAGCAGCAGAGGCTGTTGTTCGTCTGCAGCGCAAATGTTTTATCTGTTTTTACGGTTCAGTAAGTAGTGTAGTTTACACATTTTACTTTAGAACACAGTAGATTTATGTACCATTGTTTGTGTACTTGTTTTTTTTAATCAGCATTGAGGGCACCAAAGAATTTGTGTTCACTGTTTATCAGAATTTAGAAAAATGTTCTGCCATTTTCTGTTTTTAGGTGAATATATTACATATCCTTTCTGATTCATTTCATTGAAATATAGACACATTATGTAATTTATGAATGTTCTCAAAGTATATATTAAAATGAAAATGTGTGCCAGAAGTTTACCTTCTAAATGTTAATTTATGTAGATCTTGAAAGTACACTGTAATGATTGTAATTACATACAATGCGTTGGTGCATTCTGATTCCAATAACACTTATATAACAAGTGATTTATTAAATACCTTTATTTATAACTGCCGTATAACAGTCTTGTACTTTGTTCAGTCTGCATGTCAGTCTTGTTCCAGAATACATGAAATCCATATTTATATATAAGCTGATTACATGTAAGGTTTCTGTCCTGATTCATTAATCATACATTCTAAATGGTTTAATTCTCCCGATGAATATGGTATGTGCCTGTATTTATGACATAAATGCCTCAGTGAATCAATAAATCATATTCTTCTGAGATGTTCTATATTTCCTTTAAAGTTACATTCTCTATCAGGGATGGCTATTTAAAATCTTTTAGTTTGTCTGCTAATATTTAGCAGCATTTCCTTGTGACTACAGCTTCCATCTCGTGGCTCGATGCAGGGCTGCCATTCGGCTCAGAAGCATGTCCACAGCTCTGCTCCATTCTCTTCATTACCAAGCCCAAAAGCGTGGTTACAGCTTTATCCACATCCGTTCCAGTCATCGCACTTGTTTCAAAGTAGGGAACACTAAAATAAGGAGACATAGTTTTACGATCAAACCGCTAAAGATTCCTGGCTTTTTAGTATGAGCAAGAGGCATCTTGTTTGTGTGGTCTGCCTTCAGTAGTGATCTATAGCACCCTCTTGTGTTTCATTGTGAGAGTAACAGTGAGCCAACCTAATAGATCCAAGCAGCCAACACAAGATGATAATAAGTACTTGACATTGCCCATGGAGTGTTTTATTCATCCATCTTTGGAACATCATGAGGAGAGTAGATTATATGACAATATCTTACAAAAGTGGAGCTACTCACCTGTATCTGTCTGCCAGCTCTCGAGCCTGTCTGGTATGAACATTTCTCATGTCACAGAGGTCAGCCTTGGTTCCCACTAACACTATGTCAGGACTGTCACAGTATGCATTGGCCTGAAGCTGACCTGAATAAACAATTCAATGATTAAATTAAATGTTTTCTACATAAAACTTTGGGACAAAGGGCTAGAAAAAATCACTTACTCATCCAGTTTCTGACATTGAGAAAGCTTTGCTGATTAGTCAAATCAAACATCAACAAAAATCCCATTGCGTCTCGAAAAAATGCAGTAGTCAGGCTGCGAAATCTGTGAAATAAAGTATTTTAAATGTTTATTTGGATGGACTCAGAAAATATCCTGTTATTTGCTACATACCAAAGATTTTCTGTAAATAGGTTACCATCACCTTTCCTGACCTGCTGTATCCCAAAGCTGAAGGTGAACTCGAAAGTTTCTTTCAGTAATTCCGTCTGCATCTGTTCCTGCGTATATCTAAAGCACACATTACAAATATATATCTATAAATACTCAATGTTATATGAAAACATTATGGTAACTCACCACTCTTTTTTCTCTGAAGTCAATCCCTACTGTAGTAGTAAAGTTGGTGTGAAAATTGCCGTCCGTGTATCTGTAGAGAAAGCTGGTTTTTCCAACCCCAGAATCTCCAAGTGCTAGAAGTTTGATGAGATAGTCGTAATCCCCATCAGCCATTATTCCTTTAGGTTCTACAAACTCATAATTTGGTAAAAATGGACCCAAGAAATGTTCTCTCCAACATTACCAAACCATCATAACCGCGTCTGTAGACGACACATCTCTGTCGCTGGCCCGAGACAAAGTAGCACATGACTTAAGCTGGATTCCACATGAGCGCTCAAATGGCTCTCAAGACTTTTAAAACTTCAAAGTAAAGAGCCTCTTTAAAACAGAACTTGCTTACTGACTTTTAATTAACTATATTGGCACAGTATGGTAAATTGTGAAATAAATTGAAAGGCTATTGTCAATAAAACAAGAAAGATTACAAAACATATAGCGACATGTTTACATTGCTCATGTGAATACCAGTAGTTCTGTTGATCTGAAGGTACCTGATACTTTCAGATCAAACCAAGACTGATGTAGGCCTACAAAGATAGTTGTACAATGTACTTGACACGTTAATTTGTTGGAATTCCCCGTGCGTGCAAGTTCTATCAAGACAGCTGCCCGCTGTTTAAATTAGTGGAATTCCATGTGTACTGAGAATGGATGGATTTTGACGGAATGAGATTATGAAGAGGTCGTTCTGCGTTCAATGACTGAGGGATCTTTTCCCCAGAGGATCAACTAATAATCCGATCAGCAATGTGAAGTTTGCATATACACCTAGTGTACATAGTCTTTTGCACATAACAACCACAATTTATAAATATATATATTAAAGATATATTATAGCAGAATAATACATGATTTTCTATTTTAAAAATAGAAAAGTGAAAACATAAACAAGTATTCATATAGTAATGCAAAAATTCCTAAGGACTGCTGAATGTTCATATTTGCCCTAATGATTAAATAGAGCCCACGTGTGTGTAATCACAGCAGTTCTTTGAGGGCCTCAGAGCTGAGGGAGTGTGCTGGTTACAATACAGCATATTGAAAGCCAAGGAGCACACCAGAGGTTTTTAGCGTTGTTAGGTTATACAGTATACAAACATTTCCAAACCTTTGAAAGATCTCATAGAGCACTGTTTAATCCATCATCTGGATATGGAAAGGATATGGATACGGCACTGCTGTAAATCTTCCCAGACTTGCCTGTCTGCTCATACTCATAGCTCCAACAAGGACACTACTGATCACAGCAAGATCACAGAGTGATCTGTGACTAATAGTTACTCTGGAGGAGCTAAATACAAAGCTCACCTAGGGTAATCTGTGCATAGGGAAAATAGTAGTCGTAAATCTAGCCTAAAACTGCTTAGTTCCCTCAGGGCATCATCCCATTTATGTGGTAGGCAGCATCATGCTATGGGGCGATTGTTCTTCAGCAGATAGGGAAGAATGGAGCAAAATACATTAAATCCTTTGGCATAAAAGCTTGAGCTAGGGATTCCACATAGTATACCTCGTGCTGATCATTACTTGTGAAAACCCCACTTTAAGGCTTTGGATTATGTATAATTTCGCTTTCCCTTCACAGTAGTATGTTACTTTGTTGTGGTCTATGAGGAAATATCAATAACAAAAGATTTATGTTAGTAGATGACAAAATGTGCAGTAAGTTCAAGCTGTACAATTACTCGCAAGGCACTGTATACTGTCCTGTATATTAAAGTGGTAAAAAAAAAATACCCCCAAAAAAATAGTACCATGTCACAACACAAGTTGAACCGTTTTATGAAATTTTTACCAAAATTTGAACAAGATATACTAGTAATATTAGGGCTGTAACTTGTTTTGGGTTAGATAAAGCAGAATAGGGGTAGGGCCATAAAAACCTTTACATATACCATCCATCCATCCATCCATGGATGACAACGAGAACTGGATGATTATAATTAGTTTTTACATATATAATCTTCCACATTCCATTGTATGCTCGATACCGTTATTTAATTGATTTGATAATCGATTAGGAGATTAAAGCAGATAATTATTTCAATTGAAATTGCTTAGTTTTTAGATCAGAATTATCTGGGTCATAAAACCTCTAGCATGTTTAAGTCTATTTAAGGTAAAAAAAAAAAAAGGTCCTAAACATACACATTGTATATAATCACTAGTCGTGATTAATCAATTAACTTGTTATAGCCCTAATTTGATGTAATTGAACAAACCCTAAATTACATTAAGTTGTCATATTTGTGGTATCAAAACAGATAAAGCTCTGAGCCATTAACAAATCAAAATCAAATTTCAAACTTAAGCACAGGCTTAAACCACACATTCACTCCAATTGCGGTTTGAAATATTTCAGCAGACTATTTGACTGGCTACATTTCCCTGTAGACTTTTTGCCTTTGGTAGTCACCGTTTTTGAGACCTTCTTTGAGGTAGGTGCTTTTAAGATGGTCTTTTCTTGTCTCCATTCAGACATCAACTCATGTTGAAGTTCTGGAGGGAGTTCTGAAAACACTATTGGGTCCACATTTCCAGGGATCTTATCATCAGAAGATCCAGACAAGAAGTTGTCCAACTTGAGGTTTCCAGACAGAAAGTCAGAGGGTCCTGAGGAATCTGTAGTTGAATCTGTAGTAGACGTGTTACTATTTTTATGTAACACGTCTGTGGAGATGTTAGAGAACAGCAGTTCCTTCTGGATTTCTTGAGGAAGACATCGAAAAACCTCTGGATCAATATTTGGAGGTAAGTGACTACTTGATCCTTCTGGTTGTGACTCAGTATTTTGGCCAATAGAGTGTACACTAACAGAGCTCTCAGTTCTGTTAAGGCTTCTCATCACAAGCTGGAAATCTGCCGTTATTTCCTCCTCTGTCTCGATCTGTTGTGTAAAAGAATTGTGTGGGTTGCATTCATCCTCATTACATGGCTCTTCACTGGAATTTGAATTAACCTTAAGACAGAAGCACACATATATATGATTTACACAATACTTAGTTCACAATTGACGTGGTAATTGTACATATAACCTTGTGAAGAGCAGGAAGCAGATTCCACAGAATTTACCTGATTGTGTGAAGTGATCATTTGGGTCTTTACTGGAGATGGACTTTGTTGGAAGAAGGACATTAAGGAGCTTTTTTCATTGACAGGAGCTCTGTTCTGCAGGTTAGTAAAGCACACGTTTATGAGGGTAAGATGGAAAGCCTTATTGGAGACCACCATCTTGTAAAAAAGCTTCATAGCCAAAGACGTCAGCTGATCCACAGCGTTGTCAAAGTTACCTAAAATGCACCAATTTACAAACATGATCCACACAACAATCTCAGGGCAATTAAAAAGGCATTTTTGTAATAATGTCCAGTTCATCTGAAGCAAAATCAGGCCTTACCATTGATAATCTTTTGACCAATATGACTTGGAATTGGGCCTTGGCGACTTTCTCGACTGTACCATTTGTTTGATGCAGAATATCTACGAATTGTTAGCCGCAAAGTCTGAGGCCGCCTTCCATCATTGTGCATTCTGATGAAGGACAGTACAAACAAAATAAAGATAATTTTAAAAACTGTTATAATAGGAACTACTACCAACCTCTCAACTAGACATGCCAGCAGTTCTTGAATTTTTTCTAGAACCTCTTTAGGTGATGACATTTTTTTGAAAGAGTCTTCATCGCTAAGAGACTACACACATATACAAAAAGATCAGCATACTAATTAACAACATTTGACCATCTTCATTTTCATCTTTCACACCTGTGGTGCCCCAGTTGGAGTAACAGCAGAGTCATCACTGCCAATGGCAATGTTTTTCAGTCGCCTTGCACTACTTTCGCCAAATTCTCTTGCCAAATTGTCCAAAGGGAAAATCTGCAAGTCCTTAATGCTGGACACACCTAGACCCTGAAGTCTCTTCGCTGTTTGATGCCCAATACCTAAAAAGCACAGTTATCTTAAGGTAAATGTATTTTTTCCAAAAGGTTCTATAATAGTGCGTTAAGAGTTAGAGTGGTACCTTGAACCTTACGGACACTACTCAAGCTTCCCATGATGCTGCTGATGTCTTCTGGCAGCAAAGTGGTTTGCTGGTTTGGTTTAAAGGTTCCTGATACAAGTTTTGATAGCAGTTTATTTGTTGCAATTCCAGCACAAGCAGTGAGGCCCAAATTACAGTGAATGCTTTCCCTTAGCTCAGCTGCTATTTGAGAACCAACAGCCAGCCATGGGTACATCTTAGCCTTGTCTTCTGAATCTGTGTAGAAAAACCAAACATCAAATCATCAATTGAATTCATCATTCTTACTTAGATTTTGTGTATTACAATGTAATTTCTAATGGACTATAATTGTATAGCTTATATTCAATTACGTACAGTTATTACTGTAGACATGACCATTAAATGTACAAGTTTCATATTGTTGAAGACGTCTTTCCACCATTTCAGTGATGTCCATGAAGTTCTCATCAAAGCCAAGTCTCTCCACTAATGGACAGTATGAAACAAGCAGTTCTACTTGAGAAAGGACACATTGAGGACAAAAAAAATACAAAGTAAAAATAAATAAATAATAATACACATAATTAAATTACATATTTTTAGATGAAACATGGACAGAAGAAAGTCCATTCTGCCATTATGATGGTAAAGACAACGTTTTAAAACAATTCATTAATTTGTGTTGATTTATAGGTTAAAAAAAAAGGTAATATCTCACCTGTTACTTTGTGGGACAATTCCCTGTAGTGTGTTAGGTCTTCTCCTTTCACCAAAACAAGCTCAGGACATTTTTCTTTGGCCTCAGTCACAGACATCAGTTTTGTGAGACCTTGCTCTCGAGCCAGATAATTACACGTGACTACAATGTATTTCTGTTGTATGCCTAAAACAAAACAAAGACCCGTAACCCTTTTATACAATTCATATTAAGTAAATCCAGAGAAGCATTGTATGCATACTATGTAAGCAAGCAACTTTACCTAAAGGCACATGTCTCAGTGCTGGGTTTCTCAACATTTCTACCTGAGCATAGAAACAATCCATGTCGAAGTGCACAATGACTTTGTGAGGAGTTGAGGACGTGATGTTACTTAATTCTGAAGAAAACAAGAAAACAGCAATCGAGCAAGCAAGTGTTGGCATAACATACAGTTTGTTGCACCGGACCTACCCAATGAAGGAACCAGGCTTATTGAACACGGAGCTCTCCATTCTGCATCGTCATCCTCTGCACTTTCCATTGTAAGAAGAGATGTAATATCCAAGCAGCAGAAAGAAACTTCAGGCAGTCATCACAGTCGTTTGTTGTTGAGACGGTCCTGTCTTCATTTTCTATTGCTCTGGAGGCAGTCGAAACTCATTGAAGGTGCATTTACCGCCACCTACTGGATGTATGCATATACTTGAGTTAGTGGTTTAAAAAAAAAATGCTACCTGCAACTATCAAAATATTAGAGAAGTTCCGTTAGGGGAATCATAAATGTATATTATCAGTTCTATGAGTAGATAACATGAATAACATAAAGTGATCAATCATTTTAAAGTTTGGCAGGCACGTACGTCGTTACGTCGTTATGTTCGTGAGCTAGCGTCACGCACCTGTTCACGTCGCCTTTAAATAAACACGTTGAGTTGGCCCATCAGTTTGCCCTATCCGAGATTTGACACCATCGAAGCGGCACGTGTGTGACTTTGCTCATGTTCCCCTCAGGTGGCCTTTTTTCACAATTTAATTGTTATTTGTTTGAGGACGCACTGTGCGAGCGACCTCACTGTGTGTTCAAACATGCAAGAGAAAAGCAGGAAAAGGCAATATGTGACACGCCAGAGAAGTCCACGATAGACTTCGCAGGTTTGTGTTGCACTGTCTGTGTAATTTTGATCATCTATATACATCATCATGAATATATAATACTTATTTTATTTTTTGTTTTATATATATATATATATATATATAAAACTATAGATGGGACAGTAATTACTTACTTTTGTGACTGTATTGGATGCCATTATAATAAGTTTTCTAATGTAATTTTTTTTGTAGCAGCTCCAGAAGTGGCCACAGCTGAACTAGAGTGGATAAACCAGGAAATTGAAAATGTGAAACATCAAGTTGAGGAAGAACAAAGAAGACTGTCACACTACCAGATTAACCAGGCATCTGAAATGAAAGAGTCCTACCCCTCGAAGTCTAAAGTGATTAGAAAACATTTCGTCAAGGACTCTTCACTTAGCGGCTCTTCAGCAGTGGGCTCCAAACCAAAGAAGTATATACTTGACAGCTCAAAGCCTCGGACTGATTTGGAGTATGACCCCCTTTCAAATTTTTCTTCTGATCTGAGGTCCTACTGCTCATCAAATGGAGAGCTCAAAACTAGAAATGGACATGTTCTGAAAAGGGATTCTTCTTCACTTAATCAAAACTTGACAAATGTCCAAATCACCCCACTTCAGAGACTATCTCCAGAGAATTCTGACTCTAATGAAGATGACACTTTAGTCATCGACCTCCCATACTCTCCACCTAAATTTAAAGAGAAAACTAAGGTTGTTACAGATTGTCCATCTGGTAATGGTGTTGCACAAGTATCTACGGCAAATCAAAGGGTAAATGTTCAAACTGTTGAACAGAGTCCAACCCCTTCAAATCAAATTCTTTCAAAATATGTTACAAGCAATACTTTAATGCCCACAGATGAAAACATTTTCCTCAAAATGTCACAATTGTCAAATTATGATATAAACCCACCCCAACCCTCAGAGCAAAAGAGAATTGTATTAAATTCCTCAACCGCTGCACACTCTTTAATTAAGAATCCTACAAATCCACCACAGAAGCCTCAAGCTCTTGGTAAAAATATGTCGGCTGCTGATTCTTCAAATGTGAAGACTATGCAGGAGCAGAAACAACCAGTATCGGCACATCAGCCACAAACTGTGTTTGTTGGCAGCCTTTGTGAACCTCAGGATATTTTGTCAGCTGTAAAAATAACAAGCCATTCCAAACAGCAAATCTCACCCAAAACAAAAGTTTTATTGATCAGCTCTGAGGATGAGTTGAACTATTCGGACATGGATGTGTCTGAGAGTGATCCAGATGAGGAATGTTACAGGATTTATATGGAGGCAAATTTTGATGAAAAGACTCCTGATGAGATTGTGAGTATTTAGATGCTATAATAATTTGACTGACGTGACGTCTTATAATAACCACAAAAATCAAACCTTTCTCTACATTAGGTTCATAATGGAGTGGCGGAAAAAGGTGGTGCTTGTTCGCAAGCTGTACAAGGAAAGCGCTTTGCTCATGAAGCCAAAGTCACAGAAGTAAGTGTATATGTGAATCCCCTGTAAATCAAAGTACAGACATTTCTACTTAAGTATAGTACTTTTGGTTCTTATATTCCACTCCTGAAAATGGTCTTGACGTGGAATTTATTGTACAGGAAAATAATGGACCCACACATAACAGTGCAATGGTATACAAATCATGAGTTGCATTACTAAAACAATATCCAAGCCAAATATAAGTTTGAGGAAATTGTATACACAAATGAGAAGGGTACTGCTGAATACTGTTTTTAATGAACACTCTTTTGTTTTTTTTTTAAAGCGGCCTGTTGCAAAGCTGCGTCCACAACCCCAGGTTCTTGTGCCTCTCCGTGAACCAACTCCTTCAGTGTCTGCCCAGGCACTGCCCATGATGCGCAGAGTGGAGCAGAGGGCTTCCAGGTTGACAGCCTCCATCAAAACAGTCCAAGCTCTCGTTCCCAAAGGGGAGACTGCAGCTCAAGGGACACAAGCCGGTCCATGCTCTGCCCCAACAAAGCCAGGTAATGAAGTAAAAAAAGCAAAACCTTTTTTACTAGCACTTGCCTAACTTAAGCAAAGCAGAGCTTCTCAAATAGTGGGGCCCTCCCTCCTGGGGAATACATGCTTTTTTTTGCCGTAATTGAAAGTGGTACGCTCTACCTATTTGGGGGAGAGCATGCATGACCTTGTTGTTTGTTGCTGATCCCACATCCTCTGGGGGCGCACCGTTCTGTCCTCGGAGCAATTACGGCCGCTTTGTAGTGAATGACACCAGTTCCCACATCCAGCATCCTGTGAAGCTGCTTTGATAAGAGTGCGGCAAGCGCGCAGGCAAAGCCAGGCCATAATGTTACCAGCGCGGACAGGACAAGTGTGGATCTTTGTGCCACCTGTGGACGCAATAAATACGCCGTACTTACATAGGGGGCGGCACGGTGGCTGAGTGGATAGCACTCTCGCCTCTCAGCAAGAAGGTCCTGGGTTCAAATCCCGGCCGGACCAGGGCCTTTCTGAGTGGAGTTTGCATGTTCTCCCCGTGTCTGCGTAGGTTTCCTCCGGGTACTCCGGTTTCCCCTACCACTAAAAACATGCACAATAGGTCTGGCATGCGCCTCCTGTACTGGCGACCCCACTCCCATCTCTGTGTGGAGAGAGAGGACAAATGCCCAAAAATAATACCAATTGCAAACCGCTTTGTGACTCTGGTCTGTGAAAGACTGTATATAAATAAAGATTACTTACTTACTTACATTTTCCCTTGCATTCATAATGCATGTTTGTAGTGCGTGAAAAGTAAAACTAATAACTCAAACAAAACAAACCACAACAGAAGTCTTGTTTTTCATGTTTTTTGCATAATTAAGCCCGTTATTGACTAACCCTTTTTTGTCAATATTTGACTTTTGGCTGAGAGCATATTTTATTTTATGAGCCAACGTTTTCTTGTACCTAAGGGTGGGCCTGGCAGAAAATAGAGAAGCACTGTCTTTAGAGATGGAGAGATGTATACTGGAAATTCAGTAATCCATAAATTATAATCCATAAATTATATTACAACCAGGCACTAATCTAAATATACACAAATGGAAGAATGCATTTCAACAATTAAAATGCCTCCCAATCATTATTGTGATGCCAAATATAAAGTAAAGGTGCACTTTATTAATCCCCGTAGGGCAATTCATCCTCTGCATTTGACCCGTCCTGATGCCGCTAAGGCTTACGTCAGGAGCAGTGGTCACCGTAGTAACAGCGCCCGGGAACCCATCTCCAGATGTTGATGCTCTGCTTGGTCAGGACTGCAGGAGCTGGAGGATTTAACCTAGTGTGCATGTTTTTAGTGGTAACCTACGCGAGCACGGGGAGAACATGCAAACTCCAGTCAGAAAGACCCCGCTTCGAGCCCAAGACCTTCTTGCTGAGAGGCGAGAGTGCTATCCACTCAGCCACCGTGCCGCCCCAGTTGTATGTTGGAATGCAGTTAAATATAAATTCTATGTCGTATTTCTTTGTGCTGGCACCAGTACTCGGTACCGGATGAGTGCACTGGATATATTTGTAGGACAATTGGGATTTTGACATTGATGGCATTATATACATGAGTTTCCAATGTAAACAGGCCGAATGTCTTTTTCATGGGTGAATGATAATGGACTGGTAAGGGGGATCCTGTTCCTCCATGTCGAGAGGCTCCAGCTGAGTCTTGAGCGTCTGTCTGGAAGACCTCCCAAGACCATGCTAGAGGGTCAATGCCCTCAGATGACTCTGATGAATAGTGGGCAAATGGGGATGTCCGGTGACCTGACTCGCCAGATTCTTGTTCACTGTGCTCCATACAAGGATCTGGTTTTCTCAATAGATATAATTCAGAAGGCGGGGCCTTGTAAATAAAAATCATTGTATGTGATTGGATAAACCACTTGTCCATTATCTTGAATGACGTGCCACTTTAACCACTCGCATCGAAGCACACGTCTTCTCAGCTGCGTAGTGTAGATAGACAGGAAAACTCAACCAAACTTTACTCAAAACTTTTACTCATAAAACCCACATGGAACCATCAACATCTCTCCGCAAATTGCATCAAAAGTTTCATCCCTGTCTATTTTGTTCTTATTGAAACTTTTTAAACAATTCACTGACCACCATTGTGGTTGGCTTCGGCTGCCGTGGGACGCACAGGTTTGGATTACATCATAAACGGCTGAGGCAGCGGATTTTGAGAAGGCTGTGCAGTCAATGGGGCAAACTGACGTTACACTGGCGATCCTGATTGGTTCATTATTTGTTGCTATATTGAAGGAGTTGGCATTGCCCTTGATCCCAGACCCATGTGTGAAGCTCAGCAAAATGCCTCTGGTGGAGAATGGCGGAACTACAAGGACCTGGCAGGTTACACATCCAGGCCTCTCTGGTCCCAATGTAGCCTCTGATAAAGTATAAAATAATTGGATGGGCATCAGGAGTGGGAAGCATTGTCCTTCGTAGAAAAAGTCTTTGGTTCAATTTCACTTCCAGACAGGGACTTTTTGTGGGGAGTTTGCATGTTCTCTGCAGGTCAATGTCTGTTTCCTCTGGGTGCTCTGATTTCCTCTATCGTTAAAGATGGGTACAATAGGTGAGGGTTGAGTGTTTGATTGTAGAACTACAGATGGAAATTGGCCACAAGGCTACAATCTGGTGTATTTAGAGGTCCTGGTACTCATTCAGTACGCCCTGTCCCATCCAACTAAACGGATAAACATGATTGCATGTTATTTCTTGTCCTATTTAGCGCCGTATGTGAATTATATTCCATTGGGAGCAACAGTGATTGATGTTGGCAACAATCTGCACTTGGTCCTGCCTGAAGGGACCTTCCCGGTGTCTGACAGCTCAGGTCAAGTTACCTCAGTGCTAACTCCCATTACACCAGTGAAGACTCATCATGTTAGCTCAGTGCAAACTCCAGTGGTACCAGTGAAAACTCTCCACATCGCCAGTAAACAGGCTTATTATCCATCTGCTCAAACACAACAGAGACGCAACGCTCAACCTGTGATCATCCCTCCACTTGCTCGAAAACCTGTCATGGCGCTAACAAGTTCCCCCTCATCCGCTTCTGTGGTTAAGGTACTTTATAACAATGTTTCTATTATCTACATGCCTGGTGTAATAATTTTTTTATTTGGATTAACAGCCAGTTTCTACCAAACGAAAATTGAAGCAGCAATGTGAGACTGTCAAAGTGCCTCATGATATTAGGCAAAGTTATGTGAATAAATTTACTGAAGAGTTTCTTAAAACTACAACTAACGTGAATGAAGCATTTGAGAAGGTCTGTTGGAACTCTGCCAGTCTTGTATACACAATTTGCATCCCTCTAAACAAAATGTTTTTATAGGCACTTGCTGAAGAAAGGACTGTCTATAATCGTAGCATAAACAAATTGAAATACTTGAGTGTTGCTGTGAACGCTCTAAAGAGACTGAGAAACCAAAATTGTGAAGCAGTTGAAGGTGAGTTGTATTTTGGAGGAAATAAAAAGTGGTAAATTCCAGACAAAATAAAAGGTATGTTTCTAAACTTGTTGCAGAAAACGACCAATGCAGTCAAAAAATGAAGGGCAACATACCATTAAACCACAGTCTACTGAATGGAAAAGGTAAGATTACGACTGGGTGGTATGGCAAAAAAACTTAATATTTGATTTGATTTAATTGCCGACATTGCTAATAAAATAGTCGTGCCTTTTCTAAAGATGGGCTCTACTTTGTAGACTGCCCTTTTTATGACTTTTGAACAACTAAACCAAAACCTGAGGGCACATTGGCCTCAATGTCACCTTTTGGACATAATTCACATTCACACAAATTGTCGTATTTGTGTTTTCAAGCAGATTTTATTTTTTATTTATTTTTATTTTTTGCCCAATTATAGAAGAGACTGTAATGATCAAACACAAAATTTATATTTTTTTTACCCTGACAGGGGTCTTTATGCTGTATGAATGTTTGAAGGACTATGTTTTGACCGAGGACAGACTGATTGAAAGAAACTTTCCGCTCCTGAATCCAGAAAAACCTGGAAGTGCAATTTTCTTTGCAGACAACAAAAAAAGTATCTTGGACCGTGAGTAAAAAAACCTGTTAGTGTTTATTAAATGGTATCATAGTAAAAATGTTAAGTGGTGGGATTAAAAAATACACCATTTATAGCATGGATGTTGTCTGTTATTTACCAAAAATGTGTTGTTTCAAACCTATTTTTGCAAATAACCCTCAACTAACATTTTAAATATTGATACAAGATTTAGTGTTCTATGTATTCACATTTTGGTTGTGTTAATGACTTACCCTTGGTGTATGTACTACATATCCATGATATGGTGTCATGAGATAACTAGCTTTATAAACTAGTGCGCATACGCTCCCACCAGAGGGCGCACCGCATGTACAATTGGAAGCAATGTGGTTGTGCAATTTATAGTTCTTCCAAATGTGTTTGCCTGCAAACCATGCGGCCGTAAGTTTGCAAAACTGTTAAATGCCGAGAATAAAGTGAACATTCACCAAGTTATCAGGCATGAGCACTCCTGACGAGATATTTTGAGATTTCTCCATTTGTTAAACTTTTTTATTTCAGCACTTCGAAAAATATGCTGTCGTTGTGGTGCGACGTACGCTGTAAGTCTAACAGGGAAACACGTGCGAAAGGAGGAGTGCACTTATCACTATGGAAAAGGAGTGGAAAATAAAGGTATGTTTGATATAAGCATCGTTTTATTAATGTAAAGACTGTACTGGTAACAAAGTATTTTGCACTTTATTGTCCAGTGCCTGGTGGAGTGGAGACCCGCTACAGTTGCTGTCAGGGAGTTATGGGGTCACCTGGTTGCCAAGTGTTCAAGGTTTGGAACATTTTAGGCTGGATTTGGAAAGTCGAATTTATAGCCATTAGCTTCTAGCTCCTATTTGGATCCAGCCTCTTTGTTGAAATGTATAGTGACAGTTTATTATTTAACTTTCTTTTCTGGTGAATTGTTTTACGTATAAAGGCAGTTTGTGAAGAAAATAGTGACATTTATGCGAGTAGTATTCTAGAATATTACAAAAGGCAAATAAGAAATCTAAAAAAAAAAAGTCCAGATGATTCCGTTTAACTGTCCTATGGACTTTACCAGTCTGTAAAGTGTCCTGATGCTTCATGTTCTTCCTGTTTTCTTCTGGTAGCTGCATGTGTGCAACTCCATAAGCATGGATGGGTTTGTATCAACTGCACCAAAAGAGACAGACAAAACCTGCCCTGGTGTTTTTTCCTTGAACTGTGAAATGGTAAGCCCTAAACGTATTGCAATAAGACGATGTTAATGTTGTGGCTAAGTGCATAAGTAAGCGTTTCATTTGACAAGTAGATTTTTTTTTTTTTTTTTTTTTTATTATAATTTCTTAAATGTTTCCTTGTTCTTGCATTTTGGAGTTTATATTGAATAAATCGAGGAATTCATTTATAGAAATCCTAAACAATTTTGGGGGAAAAATGTTTTGTACACATTCTAAAATGGCAATATGTGACTTCTGGTGGAAGGGCTACCACCTGGACCTCAATGTGATATTGCTTTTGCAAGTGTCCAACACGGGTCTCATTTGTAAAACTTGTGAATTGGGCTAGTTTTAGTTCAATTTCCAGAAAACTGTTGTTCACGTTCTTTCGGAACAGATTGGGTTTTGCCTCATTTACCATCAGTCTTGTAGATCACAAAGAAAAGTGCAGTTTTAAGATGTTAGCCCATGGATCACCCCCTCTCTGCTGGAGAGTGTTGAGCACTGCATTTGACATTGAAACGATATTGTAGTGACCTGGCTCTGGAAAAACATGTCCTTCCACCAGCATTCCATAAATGTTATGATTACTGTTTTATAAAAGTATGAAAATGATGTTATGAATAACCAGACTATTACAAAGGCGCTTGGTCCTTGATAATGTGTTCAATCTTTCATCCATGAACATGTTCTAGTGTTATACCATTCATGGTTTGGAGTTGTCAAGAGTGACTGTGGTCAATTCTAGTCTTCAGATTGTGTATGACACTTTTGTGAGACCACAAAATGAGGTAATCGACTATAACACAAGGTATGAAACCAAAACATGTTGTAGAATTAAAGTATGTCAACTTATTCATTGCATGTGAAATACATTTCTTACACAGGTTTTCTGGGATCAGCCAAGAAGATATTGTGCAACATTGCCACCAACTGAAAGAAGTTCAAGATACTCTATTAAGTTTCATCAGTGCTGACACAGTTCTTATCGGTCACAGCTTGGAAACAGATCTAAGTGTTCTTAAGGTGAATTAAATGGCGTCACTCGTTCAAAGAAAAAAAAAGCATAAAAGCAAAAGTTTTAGCTGTGCAACGACGAGGGTGTGTGGTGGTTTTTATTAATATTTTATTTGAACTTGACACTTTTGCGTATACAATCTACCAAATTTGGACTTGAGACACAAACCTTTTCTACATGTGTTGTAGTTAAAATGTGAGTTTCGTTTGATATCTGTCTTTGGTGTTTGAAATGTGCTTGCTATAATTACATGGTCCTTGTTTCTTATAACGAGGCTTATGGTATTGTACTAGTTGCTGCATGGGACAGTGGTGGACACATCTGTGGTTTTTCCCCATCGTCTTGGTCCTCCTCACAAACTGTCACTGCAGAGCCTTACAGCTGAATATCTGAGAAAGATTATCCAAGAAAGTGGTGGGTCCCCATTCTGCATTAAAGTTATGGATTCAAATGTGTCGACAGATGGACCCTGTTTTACATTCTTGTACTTTTTCAGTATGTGGTCATGACACTGCAGAAGATGCTATGGCTTGCATGGAACTAATGATCTGGAAGGCCAAGGAAGATGGAAAACTAAAAAAAACATAAGGCACATTTTCATATTACCATATAAATCACATGCACTATAGTTATGATAATTTGTTTTATGAGGGACTTGTTTTGGGAGTGGTTAAGTTTATATTTAGTTTGGTCCCTCTAATGTTTATGAAGCCTTTGGATGTGCACAAGTAAAGACAGACTAAGCAATCTGGTGTGTTTGAGTCATTTATGTGAGCCAATCAGCAGTTGTGTCAATCAGAGACAGGTGTGCTTATAAGTCAAACCATCCTGTGCTCTGTAACAATGAAAACAAGACATTGAGAGCTCTCAAACATTCTAAAACTAGTTGAATCTCGACACATAAATCATACAAAATGTTTGAAGTATATGTTGCACATCATTCAGCTTTTGCTTTCTCCTTTCTGCTGCAGCATTTCCACAAACAAAACTTGCAAGTTTTAAGTACAAGATAAACAAGAAGCAATACAACAGACAGAAGGAAAGTGGCCACGTCCAGACAGTGATACTGGTACCAGGTAAGATTGTGAGCCTCCACTCGTAGATGCTTGGCTCCTTTGTTTCTCATCGTAAACTCAACCCAGAATACGGCTTCATCTCGAGGACTAATTGGTCTGTCGTGGTGGATAGCTGACAGTCGCATGGCATTTGCTTTATAACTAAATGGAAATGGAAAATGTTTGAACAGAAATCTGTATACATATATATTTTTTTAAATAACTTACGATTTGTCGTTTATGACTCTGTTGACGGCGTCCCTTAAAATGTCTGATGTCATAAAGTTAAACTCCAAAGAAATGGCAGCACCTTTTTCTGTCATGTGGACCATGTTGTCTGGTTGGTCTGCAAACATTGGGAGACCCACCATAGGGACCCCATGGTAGATTGCCTCATAGATTCCATTTGTTCCTCCGTGGGTAATGAATGCTTTAGTCTTCGAATGACCTGGTCGAACGACACGTTAAATTATGAGTCAAATAGTAGCAACATTATTTTTGCACGTTCATCCATCCATGCTCCAATCTAAACTCCAAACAGTCGGTTTCTTGGAATGGGGAACCTTCACATGTCTGATCTGTATTTGAGATTGTGCTGCGGTGCACATTGTGGGGGAAAAACTGTAAAACTACAATAAGTGAAACTAATGTATTACCAATTAAGTCATTCTGAGGGATCCACTTGTAAATTCTTGTGTTGGCTCCTAGCTTTTCAGGTTTCTCTCCAGCAAATCTCCAAACCACCTGACATAAGAAAGAGAGGATTCATTTTTTCAGTCATGCATCATAGACCTTCAGGCACATAAAAGTTTTGTTAGAGTTTTTTATTTATTTAGATATATTATGTTGAGCATTGTTTGCGGATGATGCCCAATCTGTGCCCAGACTTAAAACCCCACTGCGACTGGGTCTGGGTGAAAGCATCTGAATTTCTCCCAGTCTCTCCTAACCTGCACAAATTAATAATTATCACAATTCTGCAAGCTGCCACCTCCTCTTACTTAAATGGCTCCTTCTTACAGACTTTCCTAGATAACATTTCTTGTTAAACATTTCTAAGGGACATTGCAGTTTGCGCCTCAGTTCTTGTAAAGGCTCAACATTGTATTTCAGTTACATATTTTTATTCTCACCTTCTGTGGTATCTGACCAAGGGCAGTAGCGATCATATTGGCTTTATCTGCAGTGATGTTATTAATCATGGATCCAAGTGTAAATACTACAATGCCCACATCTCCTGAGCTCTGCACAAACTCTTCTAGTTCCTGTAGAAGGGAGGACATCATTCATAAAGGTTTTTTTAGATTTACAAGCCGTGAACTGTTAGTGATATTGGCTTCATTGATAAATATGTAGAATCCATTAAAAAAAGTGACCTTGTTGTCGCTCCTTATCACAAATTTGGTATGATGAGGATAACTTTCCATCAATTTTGGGGATAATTAACTGAACATGGGGGCAGGTGGTGTGGTCTAAATGTAACTAAACTGAACTGATACTATTTATTCATGTATTTCCAAACAAGTGAAATCCAACTATGATTGTTTTTATTTTTTTCCGTTATGGCCATCTGTCGGTCAATTCAGAAGTTTAAATATCAAGTGCTGGAATTCTGTTTTTATCAATGATGCCAATACATTAAGGGGAACGATAACACAACAAAATATGAAGATTTGTGACATTTTTGAGTTTTTTGTTCCTACTGGCTTTACCTCTAACCGTGTCTCACTCTCTCTAAGCTGTTATGTCCTTAAAATGATGGTGATGGCTTGTTTGATTGCTATTAAACTATTTGACTATTTTTCACCCATTCATTTTTTTCAGAGCTTGCTCTAAAAGATTTTTGAAGACTTTTTCTTTTCATGTTTAGAAAGAATCTTGCGCATTAATGATAAAGCTAAATACAGTATTTTTTGGGGCAAATCTTTGTTGTTGTTTTGGTAAACACTCTTGAGTTGCCTTGTGTATGAACTGTGCTATACAAATAAACTTGCCGTTAATTATAAGATCTATTCAGATTGTAAGCATGGGGTTGCATCTTTCATGCTTTGGAGTTGTGTTGAAAACAGTGACAGGGAGAATTTTACAGGTAGAATGAAGGATAGATTCAAGTACGTTTGAAACAAAATCTTTAAGCCTAAAATACACAATCTCAGAATGTACACTTTTTAAGATGTTTTGGGAATGTCTCATAAGTAAAACCTTTTGAAGATCAAATCATCTTTCATTTGCTTTGCTGGTAGCATTAGCAGGCATTTTTAATTGTAGCTTTGCACTTCTCTGTATAGTGTTTCACCTCAGGTAAAAGTTTAGCAGGTCTGCAGTGAATCCCACCAACATACTTAAAATTGGGTAGGAAAGGATGTGGAAAATTAAAATCCCAATACGTTCTCATGAGCCACATTTCTGCTTTGCCCATGAGTTCACAGGCACTAGTTGGTGTTCCTGTTGAATACAAAAGTGTTGTGAAAAATGTAGATTAAAAAGCACAACATGTAATGGTGGTTTACATTTGGTTTGCTCACCTTTGATTTCAGTGTAATACTTATCCAATTCTGTCCACATGGAATAATGTACAACTGCATCATTCAGTGCGTAGAAGAGAAAGTTCCATACTCGCTCTGAAAAGCTCATTCTGTCTGTCAGTTTACTCATTGTCCCTGGGACAAAGGATGGTGGAGCAGGAATCTGGGCACAGTGCCTCTCCCAATTATTGACTAAACTAAATCGAAAAGAGAAGACGAGGGGAAGCCCCAAAATATCTGCTACCAATTCACTTCCCGGGTAGATGGGGTCAGAAAAGAAAAGGTCATATTTGCTGGCTTTTAGTTTGCCCATTAGTTTCTCTGATTTTACCAAACCGTCCAAATATGTCAACGAATATTTTATCTCTCGTCCCATGAGTTTGATAAATCTCATGTAAATCTGTAGATAGTTCATGTTGTCCATTTCATACATAGAGAAGTGAAGAAACTCATCCATATAGTCCTCTATCTCTTCCAGTGACACATCTACTGTAAAGGGCTCATAGCTGAAAAGCGCCTGCTCGCCGGTGTTCATAAACATGGACGTGCTGGGGATCAGGACGGTTACCTGGTGCCCCCGGTGAACCAGCTCCTCCAGCACAGGTTTCATGTTGATCCAGTGGCTTCCTTCAGTGTACCACACCAGTATTTTTCCACCATTTATTGTCCATGGTAGAAGCGTGAGCAGTGCAATGCAGAGGTAGAGTTTCATGGTGAGAGTACATTGAGTAAAAGCCTGTTGGACTTTTGGTATTGTACTAGGAAAAAACTTAATAATTAACCCGATAGTACCACTTAACCTGTCACACAGCAGATGACTACTACCATCAGCTTCAAAGCATTGGAGGAAAGGTGAAAACTGTTTCATGCATGAGATGGAACTTCAACTTTATCATGTTTTTAATGGCAAGGCAAGTTTATTTGTATAGCACAATTCATACACAAGGCAATTCAAAGTGCTGAACAAAACAAGAAAGCATTAAAATCATAAATAATCACAGTACATTAAAAAAGATAAAAAAATATAAAATCCCTCAGCTGTATGCACAGCTAAACAGAACTGTTTTTAACCTGGTTTTAAACCTTGTCAGAGTGGAGGCCTGTCTCACATCTTCAGGAAGATTGTTCCAGATTTTAGCAGCATGAATCTGAAAAGCAGCCTCCCCATGTTTAGTTCTGACTCTGGGCACTAACAGGAGTCTGGAGGTGACAGATGACGCTCTCTCTTTGTTTCTGGGGACCAAAGACAATCATTTCAGTTTTGTCTGCGTTTAGCTGAAGGAAGTTGTTTTGCATCCACTCACTGATCTGTTGGATACAGTGAAGGAGTGAGTCCACTGGTCCATGTTCTCCTGCAGTCAGTGAGACACAGATCTGAGTGTCGTCTGCATAGTTGTGATAGGACACTTCGTTTCTACGTATTAACTGACCTAACGGCAGCATGTAGAGATTGAACAGAAGAGGTCCCAGGATCAACCCCTGTGGTACTCCACAGGTCAGGGCCACATGATCTGAGACACAGTTTCCAATCTCCACAAAGTACTTCCTGTCTTCAAGGTAAGACCTAAACCAACTTAGGGCGGTGCCAGTGACGCCAACCCAGTCCTCTAGTCTCTAAGAGGATCTCATGGTCGACAGTGTCAAAGGCAGCACTCAGATCTAACAGGATTAGGATTGAGACTTTGCCTGCGTCAGTGTTCAGCCGGATATCGTTTGTTACCTTGACGAGAGCAGTCTCAGTGCTGTGGTGGGGTCTAAAGCCGGACTGAAACATATCAAATGAGTTGTTGATTATAAGAAATCTAGTAAGCTGTTGGTAGACTACTTTCTCAAGAACTTTCCCCATAAATGGCAGATTTGAGATGGGGCAATAGTTGTTAAGTACCGTAGCATCCAGCCTGCTCTTTTTTAGAAGGGGCCTGATGACTGCAGTTTTCAGGGCCTTTGGGAATATTCCAGAATGAAGGGACATGTTTACTATCTGTGTGAGTGAAGGTAACAGACTGCTCAGAAGATAATTCAGAAATCTAGTGGGTAGTACATCCAGGCTGCATGTGGAGGAGCTCAGACTGGAGATTATCTCTTGGACATTTTTATCATGTACAGGTGCAAAGTAAGTTAGCTCAAAGAGCCTTTCTGGTTGTTGGATGGTTATTTGTGGATTGGAGACAATGGCGTTTTTGATGCCTTGAACCTTGTCATTGAAAAAATGTGCAAACTCATTGCATTTACGTTTGGAAGTAAGCTCTAATGGAAGCTGAACAGGGGGGTTTGTTAATCTATTAACTGTTTAAAACAGAACACGCAGATTATTACTGCAGCCTTCAATCATTTCAGAAAAATACCTTTCTCTCGTACTAGCACCCGGTTAAACTCGCACAACTTATCTTTGAAGATCTCGTAATCAACCTGGAGGTTGGACTTGCGCCACTTCCGTTCGGCACTCCGGCACTTTCTCTTCAGTGCCCTGACAGTCTGCTTTAGCCCACGACGCCTTCTGCTTATTTTTCACTATTTTAACCTTCACAGGAGTGATGGTGTCCAGAACATTCAAAACACTAGAGGTGACAGAGTTAAACAGTTCATCTACAGTAGAATACGATGCATTTTCAAAGTTTATCATTCCCATAAATAGTTCACTCGTATTTTCATTTATGTGTCTTCTTTGAACACTTGCAGAGTTCCACTGGTGGTTTGTTAGTGAAGCACATGTCAAAAAATATACAAAAATGATCCGAAAGAGCAACATTGACCACGTTTACATTTGAAATATTCACCCCCTTAGTAACTCACAGGTCTAGAGTGTGCCCTCTGCTGTAGGTGGGGCCACTCACGTGCTGAGTGAGACCAAAGGTATCAAGTAAAGAACTCGGCTCTTTTGCATTTCTGTCATTAACATTGTCCTCGTGAATATTAAAATCCCCTGTAATAACTAAACTATCAAAGTCTGTGCATACAACTGAAAACAACTTGGTAAAATTATCAATAAAACTGACATGACTGCGGTGGCTTGTATAGGACAATGAAGAGTATTGGAGGAGATTGTTTTTGTTGTATTTTAAAAGACACATATTCAAATGACAAACTTCCCAAGAGACATTCTATGGGACACAAAGTGGTCTCTGAAAATGGCAGCTAAGCCTCCCCCTTTTTTGTTTTCCCGTATTTCAGATTCAAATTTGAAATTTGGTGGTGATGCTTCTATTAAAACTGCCTTTCCTGTATTTTGGTCAAGCCAAGTTTCAGCCATGAACATAAGATCAAGATTATAAGAACAAATAAAATTATTGATTAAAAAAGACCTGTTACAAAGAGATCTGACATTTAGCATAGCAAGTTTCAAAGTTTCAGTGTCTGCGGTTGTGGTTGGCTGATTTTTACACGGAACAAGAATTAGATTTTCCAGATTAGACTGACTAACTTCAGTTGTTTTTCTGTTATGTACTCTTTTTGTTATCACTAAGGGAATGGCACAGGTAGCTTCATGACAGGGCCCCAGCCGGGTCTCTTCTCTACCTAGACTGCCAGTGGCTGCGAAGCAGAGACCCTGTGCATCCTAGTGTTTAGAGATAAGAGGAGGAGAAGCATGCTATCAATGCTTTTTGTGCAATAATTACTTTCACCCTATGATCTTTGCGTATGGCCATAAATTATACAGAAAAGGCGCTATTCAACAACTGTTGAGCTACAATTTTATCAGAAAAGACTTGTCCAATACAAGTTGACAGTTTGCAGACCAAACAAATAATGCAAAGGATAAACGCTTGTTTGCTAATTAAAATGGAGCAGGTGATTTCAGTGGCAAATGTCTGGGGGCTGTGGTTTGGAGGCAGTTGTCTTTAGGAAATGTCACCACAGCTTGTGAGGGCGTTTAAATCTTACTACTGCAGGTTGGCACCCTCATTAACATTGTAGATTCCTTTTGAGGTTGATTTCAGAAGTGCATAGAAAAAAACAATACACATTTGAATATTTATTTCAAGTCCCTGTTGAGGGGCTTCTGGCCTTTCATAGACTAGGTTTTTGTGTCACCCTAGATTGGTAGACCTCCCTGAAGATGAGAGACCGCTCTGCTGTAAACAAGCTCAGAACATGAATGTAATTAAGCCATTTTTTTCAATTTTCTCTATCGTCAGTTTTAACTTTGCTTGACATTCAAGTATCCACCCTTTTCTCATTACACAGCAGTTTAGTTTTTTAGTTATTTCCTTACTTCGTCCCTTCCACCATAGGGTAAGGGTTACAGTGTGTTGCTTTTTGAAGTAGATATTTGCATAATCAGATTAGCTTGCATGACTGTCAGTAGACTCCCCCATCCAAGGGTGCTTCAGAGGAGAGAGGGTCCTGTCCAGCCCAACAATGGACGCCTCCTCCGCTGGACCACTCTGCACCTGCATCCCACCCACCAGTATCCCCAATCGCAAGCTATGGCTCGTGAGAGAGAGGGAGAAGAAGAGGGTCGAGTGGGAGGGGCAGGGGTTGAGCTGAGATATTTAAACATGCAGAGTGTGAATTGGCTTTAAGGGGATAAAGAGCTCAGGGCCTATCGCTTGGCACCCAACTCCAGAAATTCTTTTTCATGAGCGCCTCAGCCCGGAGAGTGAGGGGCTGCCTGCACAGATCTGCTCCATTGTGATAACGGATTCAGACAGTGTGCTAGACGCTGATAAGGAAATGTGCTCTCAATAGGCGATTACCCACACACTCTGGAGAGAATAGTCAATCAGGCAAATGTACTTGGTTAAGCGAAAGCAAAGCATACAAGCTTGTTATTATTTTCTGTGCAGTTTTATAATCCTGCAAAAAAAGTTGAGGTTGGAGTAAAGCTTTGTGGTTGTATCACAAAAGTCTGCTGTGCGTAGTTGTCACGTGTCATGAAAATTCATTTTTCAAGGAAGTGAATAATCCTGTTGTTTTTACTGCCAACATTGCTGCTACATCAAACTGTGTATTTTTAACATTTCCATTCAACATTTTACTCAGTAATGACTATTTATTGCTTTTAGACTTTTTTATACATTTTGTTAAACTGCTTAGTCACCTGTCTGTTCCCATAGGCCAGTAGTATGTCCAGCTGCTTTGGACCATCAGCCTGTGTAAGTCTCCCAAACAGTGTGTTTACATTTCAGCTCTGTTAATCACAATCCTTTTGTTACTAAACGGAACCTTTCAAAGGATATAATTCCCCTTTTTCAGCTGAAACTGTCTTACCCCAGAAGAAATCAATGACCATGTATTCTTTTCCAATCTTGAATTGTGTCAAGAGGGGGAAACTGAACAGGGGAAACCGTAAAAATCAATAGCAGCAGTGGTCTTAGCTGTTTAAATAATGCCAGTCCCTCTGCAAATGGTCAGTATTTGACTCACCGGGGACCTCCAACCTTGAGGTCACAAGTTAAGTTGAAAGTTTTAGTGGTCATCTCTGGGTCTTAGGACAGAGCTCAGAGGTCAGTGTGGCGTCCATGTTACCACTTAGTTAGTTTTGGCCTATTGAGCACAAGCAACATGAGTATTCTTTAACTTTAGTGTCTGTCAATATAAATCTCAAAGGAAAATAGATCAATGTTTTTTTTTCACTTTTTAAACAAATGATTTATTAAATAAATAGTTAAAATAAATAACAGTGTATTTACAGTCAAACAAATAATTTAAAACAAGAGGTATTACAGGGTTTTCACACTTTCACAATCAATTCAAAATCTTTGGCAGCATGACATCCAGCAACACATTAAAGACTATTCTTTAAAATAATTATGCAGATAAAGAATAACTGTTAAATCTGGCCCAGATAAATTAAATACTAAGAATAAGAATGTAATCCCAGGCGGTGTGGCAGAAAAAAGTCATATTTAGTCAAATAAATGCATGTCAGTTTGTTAAAGTGCTCTTGGCTGTTGAGAAACGATTGCAGTCAGTGTTTGAGCCATTATCTATTCAAATGCCTCAGTGAATCTTTCCTGAAATGAGAAAGCCTTAATCCCCTCCATTTTCCTCACTGGCGAACGCTTTCTCCAAACTAAATTAGTTCCAAGCAGACTAACAACAAGGAATATTAAAATGGAGCCTTGACGGTAACACTGTATGTACATCCGGTGTGAACACATTCATGCAAAATCCAAATAAATACAGTGCATGACATTTTAACCTTACAAAGTCTTCCGAAACGGCATGGATGCATCTTTGATTTTTCATCAACCAGAACAAGAAAAGACGTTCACCAAATCCACAGAAAGGAGATGCATTTTCTGGAAGATGAATTTAGTGTCTACCAGGCTTCAGAGCTGTCACAAGAGGAGCCCGGAGATGGGAGCTCTGTGTCGCTGGTCAGGGTCCAGGGCTGAGGAGGAGACTGCAGCTGCTCCATGTTGTCCCGCAGCAGTGTGAGCAGAGCTGTGGATGTCGGGCTGGAGGACGGACTCTGCTTTTCCAGCACCTGCACCAGGAAGTTGATGTAGCGCATGGCCAGACGCAGGATCTCGTTCTTGCTCAGCTTTTTCTCCGGAGGATGAGTGGGAATCAGCTTTCGAAGCTCGGCGAAGGCAGAGTTGACGTTGTGCTGGCGCCACCGCTCCCGTGTGTTGGTGAATACTTTTCTTGTCATTCTAAGCAAAACATATTTTGTGTTTAGTGTCATTGCATGAAATACTATATCATAGAGGACATTACACATTGCACAGTCAGGGATCAAGTCATTCTCTTACCACTATTACAAGTTTAAATATTTTTTTGATAAATGATTGTCACATTTGATAAAAATGTGAAACAAATTTAAATAACTACCAAACAATAATTGTGCAATTCAGAAAATATTTGTACTAGTGGTTCCGAAAGTGGGAGTCTTTGGACTTTATTTGGAGATGCATTTTAATTGTTATATAATTCTCTTTAGTCAATACACTGATTCATAAACAAAACCATTTAGGCTGCGTACACCACTCAAACAGCTATACAGATGTTACATGCTTTTGATGCTTAAGAATATTGCTACTTTTGATTTTGTGGTGGGGAGTTTGTGCATACTATGGGAATCCCCGTCTGAAAGGAACCAGGACAGTGGATTTAATACACAGGATAGGTTGTGTTTATTGCAGTCTCTGCATTTGGCTGGTTGCGACTATCCATATGGTGATGTCAATTCAGATATGTGTTATATAACCCTATTCCAATGACCATGGACTATTTGTTTTTACATAATAGCTCATTATTCTTCATCAATAATGTAAACTCGCAGTAAAACACAATGCAAAACATTAGTAGTATAACTCTCTCACCTGTATGTCCTGTCCTCAGTGTCAGTGTTACTGCTGTTCGATGCCCACTGCAGCAGGAGAGTGTGTTTTGTCCACTCAGTTGTATCTTCTCATCCTCTGCGATGGTGCAGGCGGGTGGGAAGGGAGGGCTGGAGTATAGAGCATGGAGCTGCCTGCTGCATGCTCACATCTCACATTTTATAGGAGGCAAGACCCTATTGTGTGACGTGTGCGCTGTCACAGAGCCTCCATCCTTTCTCATTGTGTGTGCACACTGAAGGGAAGAAAACACCCCCACGACACCTCAGCTCAATTGACAACTGTGGTTAAATACTGGCCACTATTATGCATTTGGAAGTTCAATAGATTGCGACACAAAATATTACAATATATGACAATATTAATAACCATGTTTTTAAATTCACCAAAACATAAACATACCTAAAATGTTTCTTCTGTATGTTATTTGTATAATTGAAATGTTTTAATTGTATCTGTTGCCTCAACACCAGGACGCTCTTGGAAATATTTTTCATCTGAGACTTTTCCAGATGGTTAAAAAAATGATTTATCGAAGAATATTTTATCAATATAGAGGTTATTTTGGCCAGTTTATTAATATGTTGGCTACCATTGTATTATTTGTAAAAATGATAAGTTAGATTACGTACTCGTAGATCAGATTGAGAGGAGCTCAGAGTAGAGCCACTGCTTCTCCATGTCGAGAAGAGCTAGTTGGGGTGGCTTGGGCATATAAAACACGTCCTATTCCCAGGACACAGTGAAGTGACTCTCTCAGCTGACCTGAGAACGCCTGGAGATTACCCCAGATGAGCCCGTGGAAGTGTGTGTGGGGAAAGGAAAGTCGGGGCGTTGCTGCAATAGACTGCTGGACGAAAATGGATGAATGGATGGAGATCAGATTGAGCTGTAGCGACTGTAGGCCAGACCAGCATATTTTTAGTTGAAACTGGAGGAAACCAACCATAGATACTGCATGAAGGGCAATAATTTAGAAGATTGGAGCAGGCAATATACAGTTTCAATCAAATCCAACATAGAAAATATATATGAATATAATATAACTAATGGTGTACATCCTGCAGTGTTAATGTCCAAATGAGGGTTATAGTTTTATTTTAAAATCTTTTCACTTGAACCAGTGAAAATTATACTAATACTTCTTGTCACCCACCACCTTGTGTTACTTTCTGACTTCTTACATCCAGGACAGTGTATCCCGTAAACTGAGATGTTTATGTGTTCACTCTCTGTTGTGGACACTTTCTGTTCTTTCTGTGTCTTTGACATTAGGGTTTAACAGCCCACTATTACCCATGGAAAAGACCTTGATATTTACGACTACTACTGTTGAATTTAGCCTGATTGGCCCACAAAATGTAAAAATACTATATCCAGATTGACACTTGAACAATATAGGTTTTGTTATGACTATGGTAATCTTGTTGAGCCGGTCTAGGGGCCACACATATTTTACAGAGGAGATGGGGAGAGCTGCATCCCATTTTACTCCATCTCCCCTCCCACTTTAAATCTTTGTATAAAACACACTGAGTTTAACCAATTGTTACTGTTCTTTTTACACCCTTCAAGTGTTGTTTCAAAGACGCAACCTTCCATAAAAGTCTCTGTGTTGAGTAGGATTTACATAATCCGATTAAGGCCTGGGATTAGCCCCCAGCCTGGAGAACTGGCCCAGTGGGGGCTGCTTCTAAATCGACCATTCATGGGACTAGTTTCATGCTCTGCACCTGCAGAGCAGGCGCCGCAGCTCTCAGACTGACCACTAGGGCTCATGGTTTCACTGAGCCACCTGCATCAGGACCATAGAATGTATCAGGACTCAGGTGATGCAGACACCTGTCCTTGCTTTATGAAGCAAAGAGTATTTTCAAACTGGAACTTCATAGGAACATTTATTGATGATTTGGACTAAAGTCACTAAAAGATAAAATTTACAAAACAGAGGCTATAATTATTATTCAATATTTGTAGTGTTAATATAATTAACAATAATTGATATTATTCTGTTATGTATGATTGAATCATAAGACAATAAGTAGCTGCATTTAGGGCTTTGGTCTATTCTGTCTGGGTCTCAGTCTAGTCTTTTGTCAAGTCCAATTATTGTCTCATCTTTTTTTTCTGTATTATGAGTTGAATAAGAGATACATATTTAAGTTACCTTTTTATTCCACTAAATCATATTTTCTGTAATCAACACCAGTCCTTTGGAAGATGGCAAACTTATCTGTTTATTTTTGGGAAAGAATACATTAAAAAATCTATTAGTTTTTTCCTAAAAATACAAATTTAGATCAATAGAAGTAAGAAAATCAGCCCCTCCTTACTTTAATCCTTGGCGATAGTATCTTTGAGCCTGTCAAATAAGAGTACAAAAGTGTGACTTTTAACAGCTGAAGTCCTTTTGTAAAGGCAAGCCATAAACATACTGTTAATTCCCACACTGTTTCTTGTGTCCTATTCACTGCGGCGGTAATGTGTTGTCAGGGGCAATCACTGCACCATTACCTTATGCAGCCGTCACTGGGACCATCTCGCTGCTGCTTTTGTTCTCTTTTACCAAAAACAAACTAGTCATAGAATGGTATTGTTGTGCGCTGCCTGTTAAAAGGCAGAGGCCGGAGACACGGAGCAGTAAAGATGTGTCCGGGGTAATTGATGGTGGCCAGTCGAGCTGTCTGTCCGCAGGCGGAGTAGTCGGCGTCCCCCAGGGGTCGTCTTTGTCTGGGGATCATTCCTGAGGGACCAGCTTCACTCTGCTGGTGTGTGATGATAAGGACTCTCCACACGCTGAGAGGACCAGATAAGCTGATGGGATTTCTCCACTAAATGAAAAAGTGGCCCAACCAGTGGAGTTCCTAAAGTGGGTGACTTTACCATATATCACACTCAATTTAGCAGAATACAACAGTATAGAATCTATTTATTGCTTTAAATCAAGGCAAATGTAGGGTATGAATCAATATCAAAACTTGTTTCTCCACTACCTTTTCAAACAATTGTTGTCCTTGCTCAAAGTAATTTGAGTCTTGTCTGTCCATCACTTCTACCAGGGACTTTCTCGTAGCTTAACCTGCTCCTTTTCAGTGGTCTCAGAACTGAAAAATAATAGAATGTGTCAGACAATATAATTAAAAAAACTATTATAGTTATTGTTTGTATATTTAATTGCAAAAAAATATATATATATTTGTCTTCATAAAACATTAATTATACAAGTTCGTGCAATAGCAAAAAATGGGACTATTTAATCTTCGTTTTACATAAAAACAATGCTTACAAGAGATTTCCTGAATAATACCTGAATAAAGCTTTTGTTTTTAACAACATTTTGTCGACTAATCATGCATATATAGTCAACTTTTAGCCTGAGTTTACAATGTAATCATATGCCTAGTAATGTATAATTGTAATGTGCGCTGCAACATCAAAATTTCCTCACTGTGGGACGAATAAAGGAATTCTTATCTTATCTTAAATAACACAGCCATACATAAGCAGTAAGAGGATAAACATTTTGTGGTTTCCTGTCTTTGAAACCACAAAATGTAACAATTAAAATCCAGTAAAAGTCATCCTCAATCTAAAACTTCTAAATCTTTAGATCAGCTCTTTTCTCAGTATGTAAAATATAACATAATTTCTATCAGGATAAAAGCAGCATGTTTTCCAAACATTGGGCCTCATTCACAAACCGTTCTTAACAACAAATTTGTGCGTAAATCCTACTTACGAAGATTTTACGAAGATTGTGGCATTCATGAAATTTTCTCGTAACCAGAATTTCTCTTGGGTAAGTACAAATCCTACGAGCAGGCTCAGGAGCACTCTTAAGCACATTCAGTGCCGACACGTTTGCACGCTGGTGTTATGAAGTTCAATAAAACACAACATTCCAGTGATATGTCCGTCATATTGATGTATGTATTTATTTATTTAATTGTTAATGGTAATGTAGCCTATTTTTTAATTCATTTTGAAATGAAATGTGCCAACGCTTTATCAAATACATTGGAAATCTTGCCGTGTATTAGTGACCCCATCCTATTTATAGGGGGCATTTTTTTATCCACGGGCCACAGAACAATGGCATATATACTGCTGCTGCAGGAGGTTGCGGGGTCCGCGCTGAGTCTCTGCGCTGGTCTCTCCCATGGATCTATACGGGTCTGCACTGGTCTCTCCCATGGATCTATACGGGTCTGCACTGGTCTCTCCATACGGGTCCATGCTGCACGCTCCTGGATCCATACGGGTCCGCGCTGGTCTCTAGTCTATGGTCTATGCGGTCTCTCCTAGGTCCGCGCTGGTTTCTGTGAGCTGGTCACTCCAGTCTCTCCTCGGGTCTGCATTGGTCTCAGTGCTGGTCCGCGCTGGATCTCCTCCCAGGGTCCAAAATATTTTTAAATTGAGCTCATAACATTTTGAGATTAATCTCATCATATATTTAGATTAATCTCATCATTTTTCTAGTTTGACTTTATTCTCATAATATTTCGACTTTTAAGTCAACATTTTATAACTTTTCTCAGTCTGACAAAAGAAGAAAATAGGGTGACTCTTTTGCTCCGTGTAACTCTTTGCTTTAGCATGTTACCTATGCTAAGTACCTATGCTAATGAAGCACCGGGCACGCGCGCTCTACTTACGAGGAAATGGCATTCATCAATCTAAGAACAGCTGCGAACAATTCAGCGCCTTACGAGCGCGTTGATGAATCCCACATAGGGTCTTCTACTTCTTAAAAATCTACTTAAGAACGACGAAGAAAATTAAGAAGTTTCTTACAAAGTTATTCGTGAATGAGGCCCAATGCTACTTAGACAAGACTTTATATGTTGGGACAAATGTGTATTTATGAAACTAAAAAGTAAGGTATCCTAGCTTTAGTGCATATAATTATTCAAATAAATAACAAATATGACTATGAGAAATTATTTTTTTGTAAATAGACCTAAAAAACTTACCTCCGTTGAACAAATGTTCTGAATCACCACTTCTCTTTCTCTCTCGTCCCACAAATGATTTTGAGCCATAAGTTGCACTGGCTTTCTGAAAAGTCAAGTTTGGGCTGAGACCTGGACTCCACTCCATGTCCTCACCACCAGGGGGCGTCAGACTGCGGGGCAGCTGCAGATCTCTGTTGAAACTAAAGCTGGATTGGGCTGTAAAAGGACTGATGTATTTCATTTGATTGGTTGGCTTGCCGCAGTTCTGATGGGGGAACTGTAAATCAGCTCTTCCAACCATTTTCCCACTGGCGCCTGACCTGACTCCACAGTTTGAGGAGGCTCCATTGTCTTTCCACAGGTCACTGATGGTCCATCTGTTTTGTGTGCAAAAACCTGGCTCTAAAAACGAACTGCCCAAATTGAATCTCACGTCGGCCTCTTGCTCTTCTGGGGACGAGGTGACAAAGAAGCTGTCCTGCTGAGATCCAAATGGGAAGTGGATGTCCTGCACGGGGCTCAAACTCAAACGGTCCTCGCTGTTGAACCATGCATTCGTGCTGGAGCCACTCAGATGGAGATCTTTAGTCTCTGCTGGACTCTTGCTCTTATTCAGGTCTGTCGTTTTAGTGTATAGGGAAGTGGTATCACTGAAAAGCTAAAAGCGAAAAAAATAATGCAGTGTTTAAGAACTCAATGCATTACCATCTTCTTTATCTTGTATTATCAAAGAATAGTCCAAATTTTACCCAAAACCCTCTGATTTCTGTCGTTTTGGCTTTAAGAGGCTCTTTAGAGATCCATGAGTAGTACCCTCTCTACCAGGAGTTGAAATTATAATAGGAGCAGTATAGTATATAAGTATTTTTTACTTCTGACTACTCCTTTGAGCTCTATATATAGCACTATCTGAACTGATTTGTAGGGGTCATTTAATTAATAGTATTATTCTGGTTTTATGATAAAAAATCTGTTCTCATTCAAACAGAATAATACTAATAAGTAGCTGAATATCCTGGCATCTCAACTGGGTGTGTGGTGGAGCAGAGATGTGAGCATGAATCATCTCTTTTGTACAATCTTTTGTACAATTATTTAAATAAATGTTGCTCAATATTGAGATTGTATATGAACTACAGATTTACGGTAATGATGAACCATGTGTATCATGAAGGATCATATATATATAAGAATCACAAGGGGACTTAAGGTAATGAAACAAATTAGCGCTAAATACATGTCGTAATTTATACACATGAGTAAGTAATGTTACAAAATGGTTAAAGCTCAAACATGTCAGTTATGGGTTTTCCTTATCCTATAGTGTGACTCTATACCTTCAGCACTTTATGAGGCACTTCTGGGAGCATCTCCTTCAGCTCTGGCAGAGGCGCACTCAGGAGCCACTGGAGGCTGGGAGCTCTCTTCAACATCAGCTGACCCACCAGAGGGTTTATGCAGGGGAAATGCAACAAGCACTTCTCTTCCTGGAGCAACAAAAATACTGTTTAACTGTGGACTGTGGAGGATTGTACACTTCTCCTTTATCCCTACATTAGACTGTAAGACGGTTAACCAGTGTCTGTCCAAGTATGCGACTGGATCCCTCTCGCTGCTCATCAAAGTGAAGAAACAGATCTGACTGATCCACGAGGCCGTTTCCATCACATCCGACACCAGCAGCACCTGACGCAGAGACAGTCAGTGTTGCTGAACATGACATTGTTATATTTCATTTCATTTACCTTTACATCGAGATCTTCTGATTTCATGCTAAAAATCACCAGAGATGAATACACAAGCACCAGGTTGCTAAATGCCTCACGAGAAAGCCTGCACACACAAAAGATGGAAAACTCTAGCTATGTTTTATGATATAAATAAATAAATACACATTTATTAAGATGCAGTGGCTTCAAGGGATATTTACAAATCAAAATCATTTGATGACTGGAATTGACAAGGCACATGGATAAAGGAAAAGAAATAGGAATTTTAACAGAGATTTTGACAGATCTAGTATTTAAAGAACACAACATTTACCACTGTTGATATATTGTCAATTATTTACCATTTACCATTGCTGGAATTGTTCATTTCCTGAGGTTATTGGTCTAAATCTACTTCACTGTGGTAACAAAACCATTATATAAAAATAATATTTATAGTATACTGTATTATAAATTGAACTTTATCATTAATAATGTAATTATCATTATTAAGCTTTCTTTAAAGAGACAAATGGCCCATAGTCATAAAAAAATAAAAAGACTGGACTGAACAAACAAGACAATGATACCAGTCTCAGTACAGGCTCAGATCCCAGTGAGACCACAAAGAAACCAAGTGATTGATGATTTTTGGAACCAAACTCTACATCCTGTTCCGCACTGTTTCAAACGTATTGACAGATCAATAAACACCATAAACCATGTCCATAAACACATTAAATAAACGGAGACAATATACTTCACTGCTTCATGCCCTTTAATGATTTTAAAATGTTGATTTGAGATGTAATAAATGTGAGCAGTATCCCTGTTGTGTACATCTGTGTAAATAAGTGTAATTGTGACACTGACCCTCCTCCTCGGCCGTCTGGACAGAGCAGAATGAACCAGCAGCAGCTGTACTGCAGAGAGAGCGCACTCAGCCTCATCACTAAAGCTTCACTGGCACGCTCCTGGCACAGCTCCTCTTCCTTCTACAAACATTGGACAACACAATGTTATATATAATACTTCTATAGAAGTCTTAAATTAACCATATATATGTTGTATATCTAAGGGAACTTTTCTCTCTCGCTTTGAGGGCCTCTTGTTTGTGTCACACAATGGAGCCCACAGTTATCTCCTTGTTTTAAACTGTCTTCTAAACCCGCTCATAAATGCCATTGGTCTTCAGCCGGGCAGAGTAGTAATCTGATGGATACATGTTTCTTTTTGACATTTGACATTGACATTCTTACAAAGGTTGTGAGACTGTGAAGAACTACTTATAGAAATACTTTTAAGAACACAATACATAGTACAGGTATTGGAGACTCTATACTTTGTGAGTTACTGTTATAATCCCAAATATCCTAAAGTCAAACATGGTATTTTTCTAAAACGGGAGGATTCTTGGCTGTGTGCACTAAACCTGTATGACGATAGCGGTGCTCTCGTCCACTGTGATCACAGCGTACTGATGAGTCCCTCCCAGCATCTGCAAAGTCATGCTGTGATGTCTCTCCAGGAGTGTAATATTAAACCTGCCACACCAAACAAAACAATGCATTTCCTTTCTTTCATATGACACACATAAGACTCTAAAAGTAATCATACGTTGACTCCAGAGTCTGTAGAAGCATGGAGCAGTTGAGAAGTCCATCTGTCACAAACAGCACATGAGGCACACGGCCCTCCAGAGACTGAGGCCACGAGTCTGGATCAAACACAACAAATATTAAATTAAAAACAACATATAATATTAGCATGACATTAAAGGGGATAATGAGTAAAACTGACTATAATGCAGGATAAAATGTATTATTCCTGCAAAGTTGAGCCAACCTTTACTGCGTTACATGTATAGTACTAATTTACATAATTAAGAAAAGGAAATAAATAGAGGAGAAATCTTTCCAAAAATTAGAACAATATAAATCAATATAATGTTTGAGTTGATTATATTTTTCACCATTTGCTGGAACAACTGTGGTGAAGTTGATATGAAGCAGGCCCCTGTCTCTGCAGACGGAGGCCCAGGGGGAGGGCCCAGGGTGGTCATACTCCACCAGGCGACAGAAGCAGTGCCAGGGAAAGTCAGGCCCAATGTGCTGCTCACAGACCACAGCACACACACTGTTGCACACACTGGATACAGAGAGAGAGGCCAGAGGAACGCATTCAATCAGAATCCATTGTAAGAAACAGGAAATCACAAACTAGGTAATTACTTTGGAATATGGCAAAAATAGATCATTAAGGCATGCAAAAAATTCTAATTTATAAATATACAAATAGGCATTTAAAAGCCATCTCATAAAGAGAGTTGAAATTATCTATGTATGCTTTCCATTTAAACACAATTCAACAAGTACCTGCTGACGATGCTGGAACCATTCAGTTTCATCTTGTCTTTCTCAAGTTGAAGATTGGCGACACTAGCACTACCTACATTTAGGTGAGATCATTATAGAGACTGCGCACACTTAAAAATAAATGCACAATTACATTTATTGACATTTGTATTAAATGTGTAAATAAATAATCGAGCTTTTATGGGATCTAATACGGTTTGTGCTCACCAATCAGCTGATGTAGACAGCACAGCAGTATGGATCTTGTTTTGTCGTTGCTGATTAAGATAAGAATCTGCAGAACGAAAGTAATGAACGGATGTCCCCAACAAACATAACTTCAATAAAACAAAATACTCCTACTCTTTCTGTACAGTCTTTCTTGTTGTTGAGCCATGTTTTCAGCAGCTTCTGCAGCTCCAACAGTTTGGGATCAGTCTCCAGTTTCTTGTGGCTGAGGTAAAGAGTGATCTGTAGCTGTTTCAGCAACAGGTTGAACTCGTCATCCATGTTTATCTGTTTTAAAAACTCTAAAGTAAAGTAGAATATGTTTTGTTACTAAGCAAAAAAACAATGAACTGTCCAATGCTCTGCCCATTACCAAGACCAGAGCTGAGGCCACACTTCAACAGCAGCTCCTTAAACGTCACCAGCACATGTATCAGCGCCACCTGCTGGAGAAGTTCTTCATCTGCAAAAGCATATTAGTACAAATATATGAGAGCTGCACAATAATTATCTTGACAATGTGAGTTTACAATTTTCTTTACAAGCAAAATGATTTGTCTAGTTAAGCCTAGGGCCCCCAGATGCATTTGTTTATCTATTAATAACATGTTCCAAACTTGTTGAAACTGTAAGTATGTAATTATTATGTCTTTATAATGTTGTCTTCCGTCAGCTCACCACTGCGTGTGCTTGTTGATTTGAGAGCTTTTTCTTGCTGTTTAAGCAGGAAGTGTGTTTGGTCCAGAGTGAGGTGGCTGAAGTCTCCCCACGTGCTGGGGTCGAGACCCAGAGTTTGGACGAAGCTCATGTGGTTCTGAGCGAACGACAACACAGCTCTGTAGGCCTGCAGCTGGCACTCTGTCAACAAAGGCATAATTCAGCATGTTCACCCCTCATTTTTAATATTCTATCATTACAAAAACCCTACAAAAAATTGCTTATGAGGAAGTAACAGGTTTTTCTATGGGTTCAAACCAAAAATGTCTTGTTTCACAGCACTTTCTCACCTAAAACTGGGGTAGCTAACTTTCAAACCACAAATGCATGTAACTATATAATGCCATTGATCTCACTGGAAACTCGCTACTATATTTTTATTGTCACATCTTTAGGTCAGCTTTTTCAGACAGAAAAGAGAGGAACACCATCACTCAGCTTTTTTTCTTTCTTTAAGATAAATAAATCTTTTTCAGGCACAAAGTGTATAATCTATGTTGAAACAAAGTTAGGTACCTCAACTTTAAAATGAGAAACTACTGTGTATTACAAATAAGATAAATAATCTTGTTCTTATACATAAATCATGCTAAATACAAAAGCAGTGCTGGCATACCGGTGGCTTGCACCTGTAGCACTGCACTGTCTTGTCTTTGTGGCTGGTTCTGTGGTTCGTTGGGGCAACTGGTGAGCGGAGGCGTCCTCTGATCTCGAGAAGCTTTTCCTGACACGGTTGTGTTAAAACACAGCAGCTCACGTTGTTGAGTCTGGTCTCTGGGAGTTTGGGGCTCGCTGCGGAGGACCTGCTTCGTGGCATCTGAAAGGAAAATAAATATTTCATGAATTTAAACCAAAACACACATTAAACGCATGAACTCATTTCATTAAAGACTCAATTAAGTAATTTCAAATCAGTGTGTATCCATTTCTAGACCTAAGCACTGGGAGTTTTAGAATGAGTTTTTGTAAGTTAGTGGATAACAACAGCTTTAAAGCGACAGTGCACAGTTATTAGCTCTTAATTCTCTACCTTTGACAGAGCCGGGCAGTGGGCCGGCTGCGGCGTGTGCAGGCTGCTGTAAGCGGAGCATGATGAAGGTGGAGAGGGGGTCTACACCAGGGGGATCCACTGAGACACATTCAGAATGGTTTCTCTTGAGTGCCCTCTTCATCGGCTCTGCCTGGCTGTTTTCTTTTGTGTTGTGCCAAATATCCTTCTGTTTAAATTGTGGACAGCTTTGACTTGGAGTTTTAGCTTGGCATAAGTTCTCAGACAGTGCTTTCCCAGGACAGTATAGGACTGGTTCCTTTTGATGTGGTTCATCGATATCTGACACAACTGGGTCTTCAGGCCTCTTCTGAATAGACAGTGAGCATCTGGATGTGGGGATAGTCAGGATGTAAGCTGTGAAATTAAAATACATAATTATAATCTCAAGTGTATTTAGCCTTCCAAGCACCACCAAATCTAAACATGGATATTTGTAAATATCAACAATCCTGCCCACTCCACAGTTGACAAGACGGAGACAAGACAACAGCTCCATCAGATCTTCTGTGGCATCATGGCTCATGGCATTCAAAACCAAACAATAATCATTATTTTTCTGTTCTCACGTACTGTAGCTGGTTTGCCTGGTGCCTGATACATGGAATTCTCTCAATGCCTAAAATAAATTTGAATATAACCTGTGTAACTACTGTATACTGTTGCACCTAAATGAGTGTTAACATAAAGCTGAACCATAGATAAGATAGTTCTTTTCATTACTTACAGTCTTGTTGTTCAGGACACATCTTTTTGAACTCTTCCACCTGATTCTTTGAAGGGGTAATGTCAGGCTGGATACTCTCTGTGAAATCACTGCCGCTGCAAAGAGGTGTCTGTAGGACTATGGCAGAATCTTGTACCGACTCTTCACTCATAAGATGTTTTTCAGGATACAAAACCCTCAATGCTTCCGACAAAGGATGAAAATCAACTGGTGGCTCATAAACCTGGGGGTCTGCAAAGTATGACTGGAGCAATAAGTAAATACAAACATATAGAAATAAAATTAAATCGTATTTTTTACCTGTCAACATGAAGCTGAGCACGAACGTGGGATGTTTTTCTGCGGTCCACACTGCCATTTCTTGTTCCTGTTGTGATTTCACAGACACTAAACATCTAATGATTCACACAAAAGCAGCACATATCAGTCCTGTCCTTTGAAACAGCGAAGTCTTTGGTTTTGTGGCAAACTCACACTTGGCCCTGTGGTGAAAGTGGCTCTGCTGAATGATTGAAAGTGGACAGACAGATGTTGGTGTTGTCTTTGTGCACAGGGCTCAAAGTCACGTCAACTTCCATGTCAGCTGAAGTTTTCATTTGTTCTAAAACAAATGTTAGAAGTTATGGAAAAAATAAGAATGTTGCTGTGATAAATCACTTTCAAACCACAAAAAATCTACCCAGTTCTTTGCTATCAGAAGACTTCTATCAGTTTCTACACACATGTATTTCTTACTCCGTCTCATCATTAGATCAGCCTTCTCACACATAAAAGTGAAAAATATAGGACTACCCTCACTCTTTGGGCGTTTTCTTACAATTTTTTCTTAAATGCTACATAAACAATAAATTACCAATATGCTCTGCTTCTGCAAATGTTTCCATGGAGATCTTTGTTGTCTGCTGTTCATATATTTCAACTTGAGGAGTATCTTGATTTGCTGAATAATAAATATACAAATAAGTCTGTATTCTGAACGTAGTGTGACATTTTTCTTGAGATAGATTTTCTACTCACTTACCCTTTTGAATTATTTCATTCACCAAATTTTGCTCATCCATTGTTTCTGGCTTCATCCCCAAAACATCACAGACATTTGACAACCCAGTGCGATCCTCCAACTCAAAGGCAGAGATTTCCAGGATATCTGGCAACAGAAGCTCCTACAAAACAGTTTAACAATAACTAATAAAAGGAAGAAAAATACATTATTAAAAAGATACAACTTGAAAACCTCATTGTTTAATTGCACTCTTGAAAATGTATCAGGACTGATTTCAGACGAGCAGCTATCTCCAGTTTGAGACGGTATTTCAAAAGGTTCAGGGCGTCTAAAAAGAACAATCATAGACATAATTAAAATCCAATATCACTGCATTTCAGTTTCCCTCATGTAGTCAATTATTGTGATTATGGTCAAACATGTAACTATAAAGGCTGAATAGTTATTGTATCTTCAGTTTATTTCATGATACTACATTTTTATAATATGGAAACCACCACAAGAATTGATTATGAATGCATAATCCAGATGAGATTTTTTTTCATTACAAAAAAAGACAATTATAAATTAGTTCCAAATATTTCTTGTTACATTGTCTTTTTTTTATTTAAATGTATTGATTTTGGCTTGTGAAGCACTTAGGTTGGTATTCAGACACTAGATCCATATTTTATAAAGAGAGAACAAAAAGACAGACGCCTAAAGACAAGACTCACATAAAGTAGATCTAGACCAGTTTAAAAGGACAGCTACAGCCGAGTTTCCACAAAGCTGACTGCAAGAATTGTGATTGATAAGTTTTGCACATTCGCACCTGTATATCTGGTCTTCAGCGATGTTTTCATGTTGGAAGCTCAACAGAGGATCCGCCACAGGACACATTCTTAGCCTCGACAGTTTGGCTTTGAGCGAAGGTAAATGCCTTTTAAACTGTCTAAGATGGTCCTCTTCCATTAAGTCTTCGGCCAAGGACAGCTCTTCACAAAATCAACAGTTAAGTATTGAGTCCAGTGTGTCATTTACAGTTGCTTCAGGTATAAGAATTTACCTTGCTTTTTGTTTTCCAGCCTTGTCTGATTTATTTGTACCCTTGAAAATGTTTCCTGACATGACTCTGTGGTTTCTGCCAAAACGCCGCCCGTCTCATTGATGTCCAGTTCATTAAAAGAGTCAGGGTTAGAGCTGGGTATAACTTCACTTTCTTCAAGGGTCATACTGCAGGATTAATTGAGAAAAGGACACCAGAAAGGTCAGACAAGACTCTCACAATAACACATGTTTTAAGAGGATGCCTTGCGAGATAAAAATGTAATGTCTATTAGGATAATATACACTAACACAAAATAGTAACAAAAATATCCCTACAAAAGTAACATAAATGTGTCTAAATATGGTTCAAGCCATCATGTATCGAACGATAAGTTTTAACTCTTGTGTAGATGAAGTACCTTTCTGGTCTGTCAATAGGAAGTTGGTTATTTATTCTCAAGTCATCAAGCGCAGAATTATTAAGAAATAGTTTACACGTTGATACAGCATTCCCTGTAAAAGTCACACTTCTCATTCGTTAATTTTCATTTTGTTTTGAGTTATTTAGTCGTAGAGGGATGACTTGGCAACCTCTGGTCCATGGGGTCCTGTACGTGTCTTCAGGCAGGTATCCGCTGTGGGGGTAAACGTCACACGCCCTCGTCACATAAGGCGTGGGCAGAGCCAGCAGGTCCATCGTGACTTTGAAGCTGGTGGCAGTCTGGAAACATGAAACAAATGTCTTCATAGATTCAGATTGTTGTTAATATGGTCATGTGCATTATGTATGTTTTCTGGTCTTTTGCCGAAAAATACTTTGCTTTGTTATTTTTCATTGAGGTTGATAAGAACTACTTTGATCAGACATTCCAATCAAAGCAATAACATCCAAATGGAGAATAGATTCTGTTCCTGTGTTTTATTGAATCAAATATTTCTGACTCTCCCATTACACTTTTTACAACATAAAACGTGTGATAATTCATACCATATTCATTTAAATACATTATGAATATTGTTTAATGATGTATAAATAACAAATAATCAATTATTAACTAATCAACATTGAGGACATTTATTTACCTCAAAAACATAGTCGAGACTCCTGTACATCACCGCTGGGAAAATATCATTACATTTGCTTTCAGACCTGAAGGAATAAGTTAAAAAGATTTAAATAATAATAATGAAGCTAGAAAAGGACTGATCTGTGTTTGCCATAGAAGTTTGTGCCAAGCAGACTTAGCTAGAAGAAAGCTAACTCGTATCGCTAACTTCAACCAAAGTTAAAAATGACAAACAGGAACAACAGCATTATGAAACTTACATTGTTTACACAAGATGTGTTACAGGAAAGTAGTCCTCTCCTCGATCTTTCTGCTGTCTAAAGTGTGATGACTTAAGGATGATGAGAAGCGTGTTTTGTTTCAAGTTCAAATGTCCGTAGTTTTATTATATTTGATGGCTCTTTGAAACACACAGATTCAACCACCAGGTGGCACTGTTGTGGAGGCTGCTGATAATAAAGTACAACTAAAGGAAGCTTATAACTGTAAGTTACTGGAGAAATACGATAAGGAAATAAAACAGAAAGCCTTATTTAAGAAAATTGTATAAACAAATCAGACCACAACATGTTGTCCTTTTTATCTTTTACATACAGAAAAAGCTGAGAGGATGATCTAAAGATGTGACAGAGATAAACATGTGATGGGGTGGCTTATACAGTGCACTGATGGAATCTTCTTTAACAATTATCTCATGCATGATGGTTCATTTATGAATCATATAATATTGAGGTACATCATGGGCCAATGGCCTGATATCTTATCATTCGGCATACAGAAATACTGCACAGCAAACATGCTTTATGGCCAGCATGGTGACACAGTGTTAACACCAGACATGTGTCCTCTTTTTACTTCAGTGTGAAAACGGCGTATACAGCACAATAAAACACATTCCCAGACTGGGATGTCACCAGTTGTTTGTAACACATGAAAAATACAAAATGTTTTGTGCAGTATGTACGCACCACACACTATATTTGAGCATTCGTCATTCCATGTACAATAACTGCAAATCAATATGATGACAGAACACTTATACAGTACATGTCACCAGACACTGTAGTTTCCATAGTCTCAGCCTCTAGGTGAATTCCTCTGTCCCTATAATCAGTATCACTCAGAGTTTCTGTTCGGGCTTAAATTTCTACAACACGGTCATAAACACTCTATACTGGGACGAATATAAGACTATATAGCAAAAGTACAAAATATAATTTTTTATACAGCTGTTTTTGACACAACGCAATATTCCTCAAAACAAATTTGCTTAAAAGTCACGTATAGGTTATAAAAGTATACTATATGTATACTATATTTACTCATGAGATAAACAGTTAAAGTTGTAAGAATACCCACCAGACCATATCCTTATGTACATTTCAGATGGAAACTGTATACAAAGAGCAACACGCATTTTGTAATGTACTTTTTAGTATGTTTTGGCAAGTGTGACACAACATTTTTGGTTTTGAAACATATGGCTTATTTCTTGCGTTCTTCAATCTGCTCCACTTCACTTGACTCGTCCACAACCTTCCCATTGATCATCGTTTGAGTGACCACTTTAACAATCTTCCTCGTGCGCACGTCTGGATCTTCTGCAACAGAGAAAGACATATTTTTACTTCTCAAACATTTGATGGTGAGGGAATTGACCACAATGATTAATGACATCACTTACTTTTAGGAGGTGGAGGAGTTTCTTTAACCCTGCAGAGAATAGAGAATTTGTGAGATGTGTGTTTTTGAAATCCAGCGCACACAAAAACTGACATTTAGCAAAAAAGATCTTACTGATGTTCTTGCCACAAGTATGTTAGATAAATAAGGCATTTTGTTCTTGCCTTTCAGCTACAATTATTCATCAATTAAAGCTGTTACACTTCAAACCACAAAAAATTTAACTCTATTTTCAAAAGCATATAACACATAAATAATGGTTCCTCTGGACGTGGAGAATCAGCAACTCTACTCCGAGCTCCTCCCGTGTGACTGAGCTCCTCACCCTAAGGGAGCGCTAAGCCACTCTGCGGAGGAAGCTCATTTCGACCGCTTGTAACCGCGATCTCGTTCTTTCGGTCATTACCCAAAACTCATGACCAAAGGTGAGGAAGGGATCGAAGATTGACCGGTAAATCGAGAGCTTTGCCTTTCGGCTCAGCTCCCTCTTCACCACATAACGGCTATTTTAACCCTCGCTCAGCCAATCAGCTCTCAGCGAAAAGCATCAAATTGTGACTTATAGGGAGCTTTCTTACAAGTTTGCAAAAGATAACATATACAACATCTAATCTAATACAATGAAGACAGCATGTTAATTGTTCATAAAACTTTTACTTTTACAAGACTTACTTTTCTGGGACCAATAACATGTAATTTTGGTGAGGAAAAATAATTAGGTACCCAAGCTTTAATGCTTCTCAATTAAAATTTGTGTCATGACATTTCCTGTATTTTGTCATGTGTTTTTAGGCCCTCTACTGCTCAAACGATCAGCTCATTATGTGATAAATGAAGTAATAATAATAATAATACATTTTGTTTCTTAGGTGCTTTTCTGTACCCTCAAGGCCGCCTTACATACAAGTAAAAAGTGCAAGTAGTCTGAATCTGAATGAAATAAGTGCGCTTACATCTCCTCTCCCTCCAGAAGCCTCCTGTAGGTGGCAATCTCCATCTCCAGGTTCTGTTTGATGCGCAGGAGCTGTTCGTAGTCGGTCTTGTTGCGTTGCATGTCCAGACGCAGCTGTGAGAGTTCGTCCTCCAGCTGTGTGAGTGTGGTCTGCAGCCGGTCCATCTCCACAGAGTACTTATGTCCCGTCTCCGCCAGGTTCCCCTCCAGCACGCTCACCTGCCACACATAGTCATTGCAACGTTATTTCTCAATTCAAGTCAGTTAAATACTGATACATGCTGCTTACTGAGTGAGAATAACTGAGGTATACATAAAGGCCTTTACCTAATTCCAGAATGATTTCTTGAACCACATTGTATTACCATCTCAAAACTACATTTACCTTTTAAAGCTGGGCTACCTAACTTTCAACAGGAACTCTGATGATTTTTTTTTTCTGATGTTTGTCTCTCCAAAAAAATGTCTTTATCTTTATATCCACTTTTTGATATGGAAAATTGAAAAAGAGGGGCCCACCCTCTCTCAACTAAAAACCAGACGAGTATGACATTATTCATTGTTCACAATCTTTAATGAACTTTTACACCATAGTATGTTTGTACTACAAACTGGTTATGCATACTCTTCCACAATTAGCTTTAGCTGGAGACGCAAATTAAAGCCCCACCAAAGTGACAAATCTAAAGTCAAGTTTTGATGTGCTCTGAAAAGGATAAAGGACACACTGATAAACTAACGTACATGTACTGGAGTGCCTCTTTCTGCTCGTGGCTATATGGAAATGCTGATCCTTTGGGTTTAATATTGCACAGTTTTGGCATACGACTTGAACATGTCCATTGAGAATGTTCAGAAGAATTATTTTTACTTTCTTTTTATGAATATCAGTTACGTTAAGTTACAGCTGCAGTATATAGTGTACGTATATTCAGTACATACTGTTTTTAGGTCTTCCTCTTGTTTGCTGCCAAGATAAACAGTGTCATGTAGAACTACTCCATCAACTCAATGCAGTGGAGTGTTTTACCTGTCACTCTCTGCAAACAAACTATATTAGCCATTTATGTGGTTTTGTGTACCCACAGAGTCATAATCATGACACAGTTTGATTGATTATCCAGACCAAAATAGAATTTTCTTTGTTGGCAGGAACAGACAGCTGTTACCTTTCATTCAAGTTAATATTGTCTCCTATGCATGTTCATTTAGACAAATCGTTTCAATGATTATTTGAACTTCTCGTGTCAGTAAATTCTTGCCTTTTATATTGCGTCACAAACATTAATTTCAACATATTAGGCAAGGGTTAGAAAATGAAAAGTGAGCACCTAGTACAGAATAGTGATCAGGAAGTAATCCTTTATGACAAATTTGAATCACCTGTTTCCGCAGATTGTCGAGCTCCACCTCCAGAGCCTGTAGGAAGCGCCTCCTCTCGCTCAGCTCACTCTGGGCACAGCGCAGGGCCTCATTGCTCTCCTTCACCTCTGACTGAACGGCCTCCAACTGTAATACAGAGCAAAGCATTCACAAGTCACATACAAGGACGGCAAAAGCTTCTCCTTTAGTGCGAAAAAACATTCACACAGTAAGGCCTTTTTGGAGATTTCTATCATACTTTCAAGACTGGGAACCTTTCTATTCCTGTCGCAATGGCTACATTAGCAAACTATCAGCTGATAGACGTAGCACACATTCCTACTTCCTGGTGTGTTTATGTGAACAGTACAAAGGACTTGTTTTAATGCGATTAGGGCTGTTTTTAGGACAGAATCTATGGACTTTTCATTTTGACTAAGTTTTAGTAGTAGTAGTTACTGTCAAAATTTCAGTCAACAGTGCGTTAAAACATCTCATCATGATATCATTATAGTCTATTATTAAATTAAATTACAAGATGAAATCCTATGAAAGCTTACAAAATGTACTTTATCCTCAAATGTAGCTGGTGAAGTTTATACAGAGCTACAAGTACTTGCTGGCTTAATAGTCCAGCAAGTACTGCATTGGATCACACCAATGATTTGTCTACAGATAATTTTGCTTTTATAATATCAAAAGCATTTTCTAAATAGGTATCTAAAATGTATACAGTACAAGTGCATATCAGTATTTTCAGTATAACTACACTCCTAGATTTTTTTCATGGCATGTGTGAGATATTTTGGTTGATATCACACAAAAATCTTTGTGGCTGACCTTCTTCATATACCAGGTCTCCGCTTCATCCTTATTCTTGCGAGCGATGCCCTCATATTGGACCCGCAGTTCAGCCAAGATTCCGCCCAGGTCTGGACCCGTAGCAGCGTCCACCTCCACATTCACCTGCTCGTTTGTCAGACGCAGCTTCATAGAACTCATCTCCTACAAGACAAAGCAAAGTTCATAAACACGGGAGTGAAGTAATGAGACAACGCAACAACAAACCACCTCTGCGCTGGAGGAAGCAAACTCCCTGATGATGCTTTGTTTCCAGAATTTGATCTTTTACCTTCAGGTAGATGAGCCACACAGATACCAAACAAATGACTCCTTTGTCAGAACAGCATTACACTTGATACTGAAAAGTGCATTCCTCAACTGTCCTGGTGGTGACCCGCTTTTAGTCACAGATATGGATTGCTTTGTTTGAAATGAACCCAAGCAAACCATAGAATAATGCATAGTTTTGCTCAATGGATTGTTTTGGTTTTTTAAATTATATATTTGGAGTGTATTTGTATTGATTACAACATTTTGATTTTGTCTAGAGGTAAAATGTTTTGTGCCACAGCACAAAGGCGGGTGACAGTTCTGTAGATGGCAGTTTTGCAAACGAATCAGGTTAACAAGATAACTTGTCTTTCAAAAGACTAGTTAGATATCTTTGTAGATCAAACTTTCTGGAGGTGGGTCGTCACCTGCATAATTCCATGTAAATAGAAAAGATAAAACCATAATTTCCAGGACTCAATACATTTTCTCTAAACCTTTTCAGTGCCCTAAAACTAATGATGGTTTCTGCACATACACATTTTAACTGGAAAGATTTAGTTACATACAAATTCAGGATTATTTTTGACCTACATTTAGTCTTTGATAAACAACTGCTGCAGCTTCATCACTGTAACTCTGGCTCGTAGTGCCTACATCCTGGACCCACGCCTGTCTGTCTAAACATGCACACTGCTTCTCTCTCCAATACAACCATGCTCAGTGTTATCTTATGATCCTAAAGCCCATGACCACAAAAGAGAAGGTGTGTCCATACAGCCCATGTGATCGTGTTACAGACACTGTACACTCCTGAACTTTAATCTCCTTGGGCAAATACAAACTCTTTTAATGTAAATTGTTAAGCTACAGAGTATTTGAAAGAAATAATACAGTGGGATGCAGTCTACTTGGGTAAAAACATTTTAGCCACTCCATCTTGTTCATTTTGGAGTAATTCAAATAATTGATAATTATACTGACCAACAAGGACACTTTATACCAGAGGTTTCTGATTAAAAAATCTGCTTATAATCAGTAGTTCATTATCATAGTAATCTTGTACAATGAGGAGAGTGTGCTTCGTTTCAAGTCCTTTCTCCCATATACCAAGCCTCCACTATTTGCATCTACATTTCTTCACATATTAATATTCCTGGACTTCATACCTCATCATGATTCTTCTTGAGGAAGTACAGCTCCTCCTTCAGGCTGTCCAGGTCTCCACGCAGCGTGGCGATGATCTGGTCGTGGTCTGATTTGGCTCTTCTCAAAGCCTGACAGTCCCTCTCCACAGACTGGCACAGTGTGGCTTCAGCCTCCCACCTGCAAAAAAAACACTCCTTTCACAACATGCTAGAGGCTACATCACAACATCTATTTAGATGACCAAACTTCAAACTAAACAAGTATGGGAAATAGATAACTATATAAAAGATCTGGCCTTGAGCAGGTCACAACGACTCTGATTATGTACCTGCTACAATTGTGTGTCCGTGTTATGACTCTAATATAATATTTCCATGTCTTGGATGTGATACGTATGTCTTTCAATGTGTGATGGTGTGTGACGTAACATTGACTATATAATGCATATCCTGACTTTGTTCTGCCTGAAAAAAAACTGAAGGAAACTGAATCAACTTCCAGGTTGCTCTGGTGCGGAAAGATCCCGTCTGTGAGGCTGATTTTTCACACTACGACATGACATATTCATACCATTGTAATTAACTCCCCTTGAAGACCAGCTGTATTCTCAATATTATCATTATCTTCTTTAATCATATAGAGTTTTATAGAGATGTTGGGCCCATAACAGATTATTCTTCTAACTTTTTTGCTTTAATTTTGGAGTTAATCTTTATAAAAGACTAAAAGACAAAATCAGTGTGCACTGAATGAAAGATGTGTCTGTGTGCTGTGGGATAGACCTCCAATCTTCTGTTAATGTCATAAATCACTGCCATAACACGTCCATTCACCACATCCGTCTGAGCAAATACCAGCAGCACCTTGTGAAAATCTCCCATCTCCCCTCATCCGTTTGACCTGCACATCGATCACTTCCACCACATTATAGACCGCTTATTCTTCTGTCCACCCTAGGAATGCTTTTCTTTATCCACAGTCCGACAGAAAAGCCTTTTATTCATTGGTTTTGGCACCAACACTCTTGTAAATACTCACAGTCCTGTAAAATAACACAAGTGCTTTGTGCCACTCACTTGACCCTGAAGTCGTCTGCCGCCAGTTTGGCATTATCAATCTCCAGCATGATGCGTGCGTTTTCTAGGGTCTTCTTTCTCACCTACAGCAGCACAGAGGCACAGAAGTTGGTTTTGGTCAAAATAAACCAAACAAACAGACATCACTTTTACGCACACATACAGTAAATACAATCTTCAGTAACTTTTCTACCACCTGCTTGCTGCTTTTTGGAAAACCAGAGATGTAGAGACCTTTGACCATATGCTTGAAAGAATAACTGACTTTGATCCAAATCCACTATCTCACCTTGTGCATCCTTTTTCCCATTTTTATTTTTTATTTTTCAGACTTCTCAGGGTCAATCAACGATATTAACACTGAGCACCATTTTATTGGAACCAACTTTTGGCTGAAAGTTGCTCTTCTGGAAACAACCCCACACATGCTTCAAACTTTTCATTTGGGAGAACTTTCATAGGAGAAATGAATGGGAATTTAACTTCTGGTACTGGAGCAGACTGAAGTAAGCAAGATTTCATACATTTGTTACTGAATATTAAATGAGCTGAAAAGGGTGAGATGTTTTATTTGCACTGCATGACAATGGTGGAGCCAAATACAGCAGAGGGCGCTAATAACTGGGTGTGGCACAGAGTATGTGTTACTACTGCAAACCATACTATGTCATTACTACATTACTTTTTTCCCCTTGTTATTTTCCTCCTACATGAATGCTCATTCAATGGATCCAACTGGACATTTGATTATTTCCGAAGAATCACTCAAGAGCACGTGTCAATCCAATGCCAAAAGCGCCACCACAGACATGAAAATATTTGGTTTGATCCCATATTGTGGATTATTATACAAGAAATAAACTCTGTGTGGGGACGAGCAGGACCACATTCCAGAAAATGTACACTGGCCACAAAGGTTCATGTTGTATTTGTTTGTGTAATAATGCTAATAATAATAATATGCAATACATTAATCACTGAAGGCAGAAGGTTCTGTCAAAACAAAAGGAGTTTAAAATAACTTTAAGGGTTTGACTTTGACTGCAGAACAGGGAGTAACAGTGGTGTTTTCTTGTACTTTAGTGAGCAGTTGTTATTACTGACCTCCTGTCCTATGGCATGAGCCTGGGCCATCATCCCTTCAATGTCGTGGCCTTTAGGAGATTTATCCATCATGAGCTGCTTGATTTTCACCTCCAGCTCTGCATTGGACCTCTCCAGTGAGCGCACTTTGTCCAGGTAGTTTGCCAGCCTGTCATTGAGGCCCTGCATGGTCTCCTTCTCACTGGCCCCCACACCGTTATAGGAGCTGAGCATGTTGAGGCCGTTTCCCATGGACACGGAGCGGGACAGAGTGCTCACCGTGGAGAAGGAAACGGGCTTGGAGCGAATGTTGCGGCCACTGTCCCGCACAGACATGCTGGAGAAGGACGGCTGCCGCACAGAATGATTGCGCACAGAGAGCGTGGAGGCCATGGTGTCCTCTGGAAGCAAAACATTCATTTATCTGGACTATGGAGAAAACAATATATATCACAGAACCACAATATAAATGATCAAAAGTCTCAAAATTTACTCAAACTAGATTGGTTTTCTCTGTGGGCTTTTGAATGTACATTGAAAAGACTAATGAAAAAAACGATTGAAAAAAACTATTTTTACGAGTATTTAATCTCATTGTATTTGTACAAGCTAATAAGATCAGATAAGATCTCACAATGGAGAAATTTGCATGTCACATTTGGCAAAGATATAATCACCCAGGATGTGCAAAAGACAGGAAGTGTGCAACACATTGAAAACATTAAAAATATAGTGTATTTTGTGTAAGATATATTATGTACAATGTTGTTTATAATAAACTCCTTTTTCTTTCTAGCATATTATGGCAAACTACTTAGTCAAATGTTTTTTTCTTTTAAACCCCCCTTTGATAAAAGTAAAGTCTTTTTTTTTTCAACTACTTCTATTCAATTCATGGTTGGAACAAACTGGTCTAGAGAACTATCAATGAAAGAAGGTGAGAGACTGTTGTAGTGAATTATTTGCAAGTTCCTCTCCACTCGAGTAACTTTTCACACGTGCGTTGAGTGCTTAATGTTGATCTTCCATCATTTACTGAAACATGTTATAAAATATGCAGATGCATTGATAATGTAGATACAACAGGTTTATAAGACTGAAGCTTGCAGCATAATTCCAAGGGTCAGAGTCTTTGAGAATTGTTTTCAACTCAAAAGCCCTCAATGAAAAAAGATTATATCTGACTCCCTGTTCGTAAATATAACACAGGTCAAATGTAAAGAGAATGTGTGTGAATGCAAACTCACAGGGATGTAGTGTCTGCGGTGGTGGACAGGTGCTCCGTGCTCAGGTCGTGGATGTTTCTCAGGTGCACTTCTCTGCAGATGCTCCACTCTGAAGGGGCGGAGCTCTAGCTCAGTGCAACGTGAAACCCCAGCAGTCAGAATGAGTCACACATCGCAGCAGTCAAGTGAGAACATTTTTACAAGCTGTATTTTGTTCTGGAGAAACTACAATGAACAAAAAGCTAAGATTGATCAATATAGGATTTAATTATTTATGCTTCAGGGTTAATAATAATAAATCCTTCCTTTGTTTAGAAGATGAGCATATGTTCTCCAAATAAATAATGATAACTATGTACTGGACAACACACAACGTGTAGAAAGATGATTATGATATTCCTATGAATAAAGATTAAAGTTATGACTGAATTCACCTGTAATACGAGTGTGACATCAGCCATAAACCGGTGCAGCCAGCTCCACACTGGCCCCACTGTCTCCTCACTGACCCCATTGAGTCTGCAACACAAAGCAGAGCAGTGTGAACACCTTAGGACAGCCCAGTGGGATCAGGGCAGGTAGGAGGAACATGAACAATAATGTGGCCAAGATGAATAGAAAGTAAAGACCCCTGAGAAATGCTATGAGAAATGCTGGGCGTTGGTTGGGCTCCAGGGGAACAGTAAACCAGGTTTGTTTTACACGCATATGCAAACACAGGTTTTATCTGCCCCGCAGGCCTTAAAAAACTGGTGCTGCATTGATAATATGATTCTTTAGTCGTCAGAGTGGTTTTCCCCAAGGAATATCAGATGACCAGATGAGTGACCTGGTTTATTGTATAACAAGAGGACCACGCCCACACATCCCTAATATTTTACTGTATACACTATATCTAAGAAGCATCTAAAAACGCATGAATGTTTTATCAGATCATATGCCCAGTTTCCACGTGATTGGTCATGATACTGCGTTGTTTATAAAAGGAAATTCAGTAAATTGTAACACAAGGATATAATGCAGGGGTGGCCAGTATATTTTACTGTAAAATCCGTGTACATCCATGCTTGGCACTTTAAGGACTTCTGCAGAAACCCAGACAAACGTGCAGCGTAACAAATGGCTTAATTAATCTTGAAGACAACAGTCAGGAACTTACCACTTACTCACTGAATTAGTCTGAATCAGTAACAAAGTGAAGAGAGAGATTCACATCCCAGCATCATGCACACGTGTGAGAGAATTTGTGGACAGCCTGTGGGGGAAAAAAACAACTACCTGCACGAATGTGGCGCCGCCCTGTGGTTTTTACTATGTATTACATATTTAAGGTTTCTCAGTTTCATTGTTATGTTTGTGTTTTAATATAATGAGCAACTTCTCGGCCGTGGTCTGCTTTTGTCTCGAACGTTGCTCCTCTGTAATTAAAAAACTGTTTTTTTTTCCCGTTTTCTCAGTTTGGCCATAGACTGTAAATATTAAGTTTTGCTCATAACCTTTGGCTGCATGTGTGCGGGGCCTTCACGCACCTGTCACCGAGTCGGATTTTTTTTCTTGTTAATTTCAGTGAATAATTTCCATGGATCTATTATACATAATTTTAAATAACATTTAAATATCGACGGTCCTTTACGATAGTTTTTGTCATGTTTTGTCATGTTTAGTCATGTTTAATAAGAATACAATTTATTAAAAATAATCAGGTTATTATTATGTGAAGAGTTGTGCCCCCCCCCAAACAGATGTTTTGGATGTGGCCCCAAAATGTGTTGTTCCCCCTTTGGTGCGCTGCAGCTGTGCTCAAGCCCCTGTAGTTTGTGAACAGCAAAGTTTGTTCATCATTATGTAAACATCACACTATGTTCAATCATGACCTTTTATTAATTGAACTCCAGAAATCATCAATCTGAAATGGCCTGAGAATATAATCAGTACACGGAGAATACTTTGCATGAAGTTGTATTTCCAGTTTCTGTTCATTATTTTTCAAAGCTGTTCTAAAAATAAGGCACAGGTATGACTATGCACATTATCCCTCGGAAACTTTGTGTTTCCAATAATCACTTCCAGTAGAGGTGGGAGGTGGAAACTATCATTTTAGAATTGGTCTGGAATTCACAAAAAACAATTACTGAAACATGCAACAACAACAAATTTAATAAACATTGAAATTTACCACTACTATTGTTTATTTTGACTTTTGCCTTTTGTCTGTGAACTAGAAGTTAAACCTGTTGACTTGATTGTTTTAATATCTTTTTGAAAAATAATTAAGAAACATCATCCATTGTATCAGAAATGTACAGACTTTACATGAAGGTATGATGACCATTCAAAATGATGTTATAGGCAACTGCATATGGCTTTTAAATACATATAGATCAAATCAATTAGTTTTTGTTTACATTGTTGTTTAAATGCCCTCTCTGTGTGTGTTTGTAGCACATCGGCTGTCGGCCTGGACTGAACTAATCATTTTCAGCTTTGCCCTTGTCATCATGCAGCTGTTGTGGTTCTGTGCTACTGTGACACTCATAGTCACAGTTTACATGTAAAACTTTTAATTTTCTTCAGCACACAGTGTAGGGTCAGCAAAAGTCAAATGTATGAGCTTTCCTTTGTTTCACAATTGTTTAGAAATGTGATACAGCTCTTGGCTCTGTACTGTAGCATTGACGTTTAAACCAACAAGTGGAGATGATTCAATAATGCTAAGTTAGGTCATAGACACCCTGGGGTCTTGATTAAAATCACAATAAACTTGCATATCCTACAGTTTTTGCTATAAGAAGTTGGAATAAACTATACAAAATATATTCAATCTAAACGTAAGACATTTCTGATTGGACACAGGCTGTGGGTAACGGGACAAAAAAGCTTTTTGAATAGTACAATCAACTCCATGAAACAAGGGAAGTAGAAATCAAATGAGAAAAGTGAGCGATGGCAACATTTGGAACAAGCCTGAGGGGGAGGAGGAGGCTGTGGTGATGAAGATGTTTCGCGTAGAGGTTTTGTTGACTGTTGTGCAGTGGAAAGAGCTCATCAGCAGAAGGGGAGAGGTTTGAATGAGCACGAGACGAGGCCGCGCCGTGTCTCTGCTCATTAGGGCCCTGCTGTAATTCACCGTGTGCAGCTCTGCAATCAGCGGCCTATTCATTAACATGGGGGGCCGCTTTCATCTGCAACCACTTGAGCCTGCCAATCACAGAGGCGTACGCATGGCATGATGAGAAAACGGGGGCTTACATACGAATGCTTGTGCGCGGAGGGAGTCAGGTCTTAAGGATGTGTATCAGAGAAAGGGGGAAGGAGAAACGCCTTTTTTACCAGTGTAGTGCTGGCAGGTGGCCCAAACCGTGTCTGACTGATAATCATCTTTCCATCGTCTTTTGTTCTTAGATTTCACAAGGGAGAGAGTCGCTTTTTAGGACAAGTTTTCATCTGAAATAAACTGATTGGGTATAATTGACTAAAGTTAGATTTACAAAAAAAAATGCGTTCAATAGACAACAAGCAAATTGATTACAATGACAGTAATAAGCACCTGCATGTTAAATAAAGTGTTTTCATTTCAGACATGACTTTCTTCAACTAAAGCTGGACTGCCTAACTTTTTTGTTTCATAAATAAATTTGTTTGACCAAGAGAAAGAGGTTTGTTTAAGTAACTGAAAGCAGATTGGCTAAGTAACGACAGTCCAGTCCTCTCTTTTTCACTAAAAATCTGATTTAAAGATGTGACATAAACACATATATGGGAAAACAAACTACATTTTGGAGAGATGTAGAAACTAGCTACAGCACATACATGTTAGTACATAGTTATTTCAAAAGTTAGGTATTCCAGCTTAATACTTTGCTGTAAAATTTCAAACGGTAATGGAATAAAACACTTTCAAATTCCATGATTTTCATTTGGTTGCGGGCACCTTTCTCAGCAATTTTCCCAGCGTTTCACCCAAACAAAGTAAACAAAGCGGTGATGTGGGAGTGGACAGTACTTTCTTTCTGAACACATTTGTTTCACAATAAAACCGTCAGATATAAACATGATATTGTTCAGGATAATGTAGTTTTGTTTTTACTTTTTGACATGTAATGAAGTGTTTTCAATCAATATAACAACAGTAGGTCATTTAGGCAAAGAGGCCAACAAACTGCTCAGTCAATGAGGCATTGATCGTGTTTCTTGCTGAATGGAAATGTGTTGTAATGTGTGCGGTGATGAGAGGTGACCTTCTGAACCACAATCTATGAGCAAATAGAGTCCTTTTGCAAGACTGGAGCTAGAAGTGCTATCATTATCCTCTCTGTCGCTGCTTCAATGTCCTATCCTCCATGTGCAGTTATAAAGGTCATCTGGCTAAAACTACCAAACAAACCTGGATTACATTTGAGATAATTTTATTAACTTCAGACATATGGTACAATCACATATTGTCACATTTAAAAGTGCTTTTGTGAGTTTGATAATAAATTAGCATTTTCATTTGACAACAATAAAACAACAAATAGCAAATGCTAATAATGTACTTACCAATACAAAAATGATGAGGTCTAAACACTGACATGACATTCCTCTTACCCTTTTCAAAACAGCAGTGCTTTACACTGTGATTGGAAATAATGAGAAGTTTTCAGCTGGATGAAATGCCCCGTCATCAAAGGACGTACTATAACGAATAAGACCAACATCATTTTGAAGACTTCACGGTCTCAGGTATTTTAGGTCAAAATCCATCCAAGTGTGATCCATGGACAGAATTCCAGTCAGCATACAAGTATAAGTCCGAAAGTGTAAAAAAAAAGAAAAGTGAAAGTCATCAGCGACTGATGGGGAGTTGTGGCAGCGAGATGGAAGGATGTGCCAAGTGTCCAGGGGCAGCGAGCACAGAGAAAGAATGACCTGAACACAAAAATATCACACATTAAAAACAGAGATTGTGGGTTTCAATCGCAGACAACGACCAATGTTGTATCAGTAAACAAACGGAAGGAGACTGAAGGACATGCAAGACATTTGTGGTTGTAAACGACATTGTGCTTACTGTCCAAGTATCCGTGCAGAGTCAGGAGGTGTGGCCGGTCGGGGTTGCTGTATGGAGAGTAGTGCATGTCGTCGGGCAGAGATGGGGGCAGGCGCGTCAGAGGAGCACCCTGAGAGAAGCTGTTCTGTGGAGGCAGCTTTTTGTGTCGCGCTCGGCAGTTCTGGAACCAAACCTGGGAAGGTCATGTAAGTGTCAGTAAACAGAGTAAAACAACATCGGCAGAAAGTAAAAGCTGTTGTGTTTAAACCTTGGGTACCAAACATTTGCTAAAGTAAAATATTGTAAACTAGTCGGACCACAACACGCTGTCTCATTTCAGACTCGTAATAAAAAACCCTTTTAGGCACGGTTTGACACATTTGTGCTGAGAAGGAATTGCCGCAGTGAGATGGTCCTCTGTTTTTTCACTTTTCTGTCTGAAAAATTGTATCAAAAGATGTGACAGAGGCCAAAAATACATGTATGAGACAGACCCAAAGTGTTTTGTTAGCGAGGAACTATGTCAGTATTCATGACAGTTCTTGTGATTTGAAAGTTAGGAACACCAGCTTTTGTTCCATTACTCTTTCCTCTGAAATCTGATGTTTGGGGGACAAACTAGAAAACACAGATGACACTGATTTGGGAGAAAGCTCACCTGTATAACTCTCCTGCTGAGCCCTGTCAGTTCCGCCAGTTTCTGCAGGGCCTGGGCGTCGGGATTATTATCTTGAGCAAACTGTGTCTGCATGACCTATCACATAATTCATGAGTGTCATACAGGAATCGGAGTCCTCGCCTCAAAGTAACACATGTCCTGGTACCTGTAGCTGCTCGGCGGTGAAGGAGGTGCGAGCCCTCTTGGCTGGTTTAGGTTGACAATCCTGATCTGAGGGCAGGGCTCCCTCCAGTGTAAGACCTGTGCCTGATGACAACAAAATAAACAATTAAATGACTTCAATCCTTCGCTGTGTGTGGAGACAGAAATCATGAAAGTACCGTTTTCAGCCGCCCGCCGCAGATTGTCCAGCATGGTGTCGTAGTGATTCCGACAGAGCACCCTGCCCTCCACCAGCCCAAACTCCTCTCCAGTGGATAGCTGCCGTTTACAGGAGAAACAGGCGAAGCAGGCCAGGTGGTACACGCTGCCACGGGCCCTCCGCACCCAGTCACTAGCAAACACCTGCCTACCGCACTGCGCACACTTGGTCCCAAACCTACTGTAGAAACATAACACACGGAGCTCACTATGATTCATGGTGTGGTAGACCTCCTCAAACTGAAGCCAGACTGTGGGCTATGTGTGTAAACCATCGGATAATGCTATTAAGCCTAAATGTAGAGGCAAATGTGAATATGAAATCAAATCAATTTTCTGTGACCAAAATCACAATAGCAGTCGTCTGGAAAGGTGTCACAGAAATGTGGATTTGCCAACAGCAGATTAGAAAATCAGACAGTTTTATGAAAAATCAAATGAACGCAATTAGTATATGTTTCCACAACAACTATAGATTAACCCGTGTTCATGAGGTATTGGAGAAAGGGTATAAATGCCCTGAAGCATCCCTTGTCATTAGACCCTCCTTCATCATCAAAGAGAAGCTCCAAAAAAAATTCAGTGGGAGAATAAGAGAGAAACCTTGAGAAAACCACATCGGGAAATAAAACTCTCCATTAAATGTGTATTACATCTTATTGAAACTGTATGGACAAATTACAAGTTATAAACATATATTTAATTTGTATTTTCAGATTCAAGACATGTGTAGTTAACTTAAATACATGCATTTATGAATTACACTACTTCATATTAATGGTAATAATAATAGCAATAATAATAATAATAATAATCCACATGTAATGCAATGTGTTATTATTATTATTATTATTATTATTATTATTGTTATTACCACTACGTTTGCTAAAATTGTCTATTACTATTATTATCAACATTTTTCTATTGTGTAAAAAAAAAAAAATAATAAACGCACAGAGAACCATTTTTGAGAATCACAATCCTCACAATTATTTTTCTTTTTAAATTAGTGTTTGTTTTAAGTTGGCATAATGCAAAGAAATGCACGTATTACCATATGCACATATTCAGCACAGCGGCCTATACCATGATATACGTGTCAAAAGGAAAACTGCAACATGCGGCCTGCAGCGCGTGTACGTAACTTTGTAAATGTATAAATAAAATAAATTAAAAGGGTGATATTCTTTGCACTATAAAAATAAGGCCTCATCTGAACTCATTCCTCTCACGTATATGTGCTAATAATTTGCTCCGTGAAACCCTTTTAGCCGAAAATTCTTTGTCTGGGCATACACGCAGGCCTGTTCCAAGCATGAAGCGTAAGGCCATCTTATAATAAGTGGGAATAGTGATGTGTTACATAGGATACAAAATAATACACGTGTAAAGTAAAGTAAAGTAAAGTAAAAAAAAAAAAAAAAAAAAAATCTGTCTCGTCTTTCATCCATCTCCCACATTTCCCACTGCACGTGACAAATGAATATAAATAGAATGGAATAATGGACAATATCACACATACCTGAAGTAATCCAGTTTGCAGTAGATTTCTTTGTTTTTGACATAGCAGCTGCTGTGCTGCCTCAGTGACGCTCTGCACACGGAGCACTCCAGGCAGCCCAAGTGCCAGTTCAGGTTGTTCACCTGAGACAAACACACTTATTAGCGCCACATGCAAAAGACATGCACAGAACTCTGCTGCTTTATATAAATATGATTATGTTTAGGCCTCGCAGCTCTCACCTTTAGCAGGTAGCGGTCGTGGATGTCCATTCCGCAGCTGGCGCACCGGTTCTTGACCGACGGAGAGCAGAGACACGCGGCCTGGGACGGACTGGGCTCACTGCACTCCTCCTTCTTCACCTCCGTCTTTGACTAAACACACATTAGCATCAAGATCTCAAAAAACAATTTGTAGCCGTTTGGTCATCCCAGGTTTAAGTCTAATAACAACACAGCACCAGGGTCATCGGGGCCAGCAAAAGGTGGCACATGAATCGCAAAGATTTTAAGGAAAGTTCTCCATCCAGATGTTCATGACTCACCATTTTCAGGTCCCGAACAGCAGCCTATTTGGAGAGAAGATGGAGCGTACTCTGCACATTACGCATCTCTGCCCCAACCCACACCGCATCCGGTCCAAAACAACTAGACAAACTGTTTCGGTTGCATTTAAAGTCTTGTAACAAAAGACATTTTGATGCAATTAGAGCGAGAGGGAGAGAGAAAAACTAGCCTATATGATCGATGGTTGTTCTTGCACGCAATCCGTGGTTATATTCCCATGCAATCAAATGCCACGAAAAGAAAGGGTGGCACTATATCTGCAATTAGTGCTGGATTGAACGGCTTCTCTTGGTAAGAGGCTACCCGAGTGTCAATTTCACGCGTCAATCAAAACAGCCAAGCCAACCACCAAGCTAAGAGAAGACGGGGAAAAAACACAGCATCCTAATTTCAATAGGTGTGTAATCGAAAATCGACAATTCCCCAAAGTGAAGAGGCTCAATTGGAGATCGCTCTATTCATAACAGACAATGCGCATAAACTGCAGCTGATCTTGAGACATAAAGAAGCTTGATTGTCTCTTTCTCATGATGGACCATTACGCACTTGAGGCTCCCCTGGTGATTACAGCTGCATTCAGAAAGTGCCAAAATGTGCTTCTGCGCCAATCCCGACTTTGTGTTGTTTTTCATTTACACCAAATCAACATAAATGTAGGATGAGGATGTGATAATTAACAACTACCCTATAAACATTGGAAGCGTGCTGAAATATGAAGAGCTGGACTAGGAAGGATCCTGCTTAAGAAAAATATCCACAATAAAAAGCACACAAAACACAGTCCAAGTTTGCTCATCCGGTAATCTCAAGAATGCGTCGCGAGACTTGACGAAAAAGGACAAACAACTGGTCTAAAAACTCCAGATTTCATGTCCCCTTTTTAAGTGTGTGAAAAGTCCAACTTCTCCGCGATTTTCTTCTGACTCAAGAGAAACACAGAGAAGTTCCCTCCCACACTCCTTTCTCATTTCACTTCGACTATAGGCTTGCATTTACTGTATAGGGCGAGAGGTAACGTAACGTAAGCGACAATTACCAAATGTAACTTCTAGCTTCTCATAAACAATCAAGTGATGACATTTTACACTCACTGCAAAACAATGATAAATAAAATATGAGGTAATAAATGATTGAATCAAGTGTTTTTATCTTTAAGTTGAGCAAATGTTGACCGTCTAAAAACAAGATTGGACAATGGAAAAAGCAAAAAAAGTCTTGTTTATATAAGAAGAAATAAGAAACATTTTTAAGAAATCTCTTGAAATGAGGAATAAATTGCAACATCACTTGAAATAAGACTAAACGGCTTGTTCCATTTCCAAACTTTTAAGAAAGTCAAAATATACTCAAATTAAAACAAAAACACTTGATGCAAGCTTATGTACATCTTATCACTATTTGCAGTGCTATAGGTTGTTAATAATAGTGACACTGCTCCATAAGAATTCATACAATAGCCCAAATGAAAAAAGAAAACCAGGATAAGCGTCTTACTGTCCCTCTAAAAGCATGCAGTGATCAATAAGCATCGAGTGCTTTAAAAGGCTCTGGACTCATACCTGCACATTGTTCAAGAGCATTAGCTGTAATCAGTGAGACATCCCAAAGTGGCAGCAGTCGACCACTTAAGAGGTTATTACACATCTATGAAGCTCTGATGTCCCACAATGATTTTGTACTTTAAGTTAGAGACACTTTGAACCATTTTAAACAGAAAGTCTGGAGGATGCATCTGTTGTGTCGGTATCTCAGTGAGTGCGTTTACAAAGCACTGGAGATGGAGCCATAAGAAAACATATTTGATCTTTATTTGAAGTGTTGAATTTCATTATTAATTCATGACTAAAATTTCAATGCTGTGACTTGAGCACAATAGTGGAACAGTTGATTTTATTGTTGATTGCTTCCTGCTGAGTACACAAAGAGCTGCAACACTGACATTTCCTCCTTCCAGAAATAAAGACTATTGTACTTTTGCCATTTTGGGAATTTAATTGCAATGCTATCTTGTGCAAATCAGAATAATCTTCAAGCACATACAATGAGAAGGAGCCTGCACATGGACTATTCTTTTGACTATCACTCCATGATTAATTTCTGAATGGACAAAAATGTGGACAATTTTGTTTGCAAATCAGCTGTGTTGGGTAGTTATTGCAATATATTTAGATTACTGGTATAGAAATCTAATAATAATACATTGTTTTCTATGGTACTTCTCTTTGTTTCGTGAAAGAATTGCAAACGTGGATAAAACCAAGCAAATATGCACCTGCATTAAGTATGCATGCCACTTGTGTTACTTCGATTGTAGCTGGTAATATATTTTGTAATGAGTTATTACAAAATATATATTGTACTGTAAAACTATTAACGGTAAACAACCTTTGCCCTTACAAAATGAACGAACCCTAGAGCTGAGTACAAGGCTTTCAGCTCATGGAGTTCATATAATGTCTATTGTGTGTACTTATGTAGAAATGATAATATATGATCTTTATGCATGCCTTTATATCTATTTTTACTTTTTACACTTTTTTTTTGTTTGCACCATGAGCCAACACAGATTCCTAGTTTGAGACTTCCTGTAAACTTTCTTCATGACAATAAACGTAATTCTGATTTTGATACCGATAAATAAACAAATAAACACCATATGCAAATTACCACAAAGTATGTACCCTTGTCTTAAAGCATTTTCTTGCTGTTATAAGAGGTAGAAAGGACTGTGACTGGATGGCTGCATATATGAGGATGGGTCGGTCACCTGTTGCTTCCCCCTCTTGTGTGGGAGCGTGAAGAGCCACGGACCACACCGCTTCCTTCAGCACATCTGTCACAAACAATGAGGAACCAGCACAGCGCCACGATAAACACACACCCGCACACATGCAGAAGCTATTACGCTCTCCAATGGCCCCCTGCGGACCCCTGTGTGTGAGTGCAGTGTGGACAATGTATGACGTGGGGCATCCTGCTCTGTGGATGTGAGGGACACGGCCACGCGGTTCAATCCAGGCCAAAATATACGCACACAACTAAACATGCAGCTCTACAAGGTGTGGCCCTGCACGTAAACAACAGCTTATGAAACTATTCTGCATTGTTATTATTTTGTTTTTTCACAAAGGATCTATGTAGCCACAGGCATGCCAAGGATATGTCAAGAATTCTGTGAAAATAATCAAAGGCGTTTCCAAAACAAATGTGATCAATTCGTCACAATATTTTGTTCCAATAGATAACATTATATTTTCTTCAAAATCCCAGAGATTCCCAAATAACTACATATCCATAATGGATTTAGCGTCGCAATAATTGTCTATATTGTATTGACTTATCCAGAGTGTGATAAGAATGACTTTTTAGTTGTATTTGTTACAACAGTTCTATTTGGCCAGTGCTTATTATTCAAGTTCTGTATAAATTATGGAGTCAAATCACTTTTTAATGGATTTCATATTGGAATAGCCAAGCAGATGCATCATGTCAAGAACAAAAATATAATGTTCTGTTGCTGTTTATTTCGAAAGACCCAGGGCTCAGAGAGGAGCTGGAGAGGGACTGGAGGGTAAAGGTGACAGTAGTGCCCGTGGTGATCGTGCACTCGGGCAGTGATCCCGGAGCTGGAGGAGTGTTTGCAGCCGATCCCAGGCCTCTGCAGAGGACCCGAGCTTAGAGAGGGATAAACGCCCGCCGAGGACAAACGTAGCACCGAACGTGTAAACATTTATGAAATACTAATGAAATACTTGAAATGCAAATATATTGTTGTCCATGTTACAGTAATTGCTACACGAGTAAACACTCGTCATCTGTCTTGGATATGACAGACGGTTTCTCATTAGAGTATTGACAGATTTCTTTAAGGCCATTATTGAGGCATTATTGCAGCGGCCAATGAGCCCACACAATGGACTTTACTTGTTCACTACCAATACAACACAATACAAAGGCATGTCTCACAATGACTGATGCTGGTTTTGGCTCGTAACTAAGAAAATGTTTGGAGAAAGGTGGTGCCTCCTTATCTTGTTCCTGTAGAGCCCCATGTGAGTGCTGCACCAGATGTTTGCGATATCCACTTAAAACTGTGTCTCTAAAAGAACTCAGACCATTCACAGCCAATTCACAATATATATATCAACAGGCAGAGGGGGGTGAATATGCAAGTAAAATACGTCTTTAATAAATATTATTCATCAAGTAAAGACTTCTTTGTTCTGTATTTTAAAACTACTCAATGAGTGTAATTGTTGCGGAGCTCCGTCTTATTTATATACTTTTAGGTACACACATAATGAAAGGAAAAAAATAGAGGGAACAGGTTTAATTAAGTACTGTCAGCATTATCCGTTTCTTTTCATTCAGAAGTCACACTGGGAAGAGTAATCAAATGTAACTATTTAAAAAAAAAAAATAAAATAAAGGGCAAAAGTACTCTAGAAAAGTAAATTTACCTGAACCCAAACTGATTGAACTATTCTTTATTATTTGAAGTCTTTGGGTCTTTGCTGAGATGAAGTATTGGCCTATTCCTGCACAATAACCATGGATTTTATCATTTTGGAATTGTCAAAACTATGCAGCATTAAAAACATCTGTATTGATTGTCTTTTTCCACATTAAAAATCACATATAAAATACTATTAGTTTAAATTTCCCAAAAATAACAATTGTAAACCGCTTTGTGACTCTGGTCTGTGAAAGGCGGTATATAAATAAAGATTACTTACTTACTTACTCAATCTTTTTTCAACCAATTATTGCTTACCGTAAAAACTTCATAGAGAGTGCCTCTCATTTTCATACTCTCGCCGTTTTGAATTGATCGTTGTTTTAGTGTTCTGGACAAGCTTTCAATAAACAGCCAACTTTTAACGTAGCACCATCTCTGTCTGTAAACCTGCATTGAGAGGAGAAAATAGTTATTCAACGTATACAAGTTTATTTAAAGAGCAGACAAGTAAAAACAAAGAAA